TCATCGCTTATAAAAGGCAACATAAACGGGATTTTGTTTTGGCCAAGTGTTTCGCGTGGGCGCGTCGTTCTCCTTGTAAACTTATCTTGTGGGGTAACTATTTCGTAGCCAATGGAGATGGCTATTTGCCGAGCCAAATCGCGCGATTCTTCCTTTAGTTCCCTGGTAGTGCACACAGAGGTGGCTGTTGGAAACATGTTTCTCACAATCACTCTCTTTGTGTGTGAAGGGTGGGAAGAAAGGAAATGAACAAGAATGTTCTTGTTACTTGGCTTTCGATACCACTTTGTCAGGTAACCGCTACTTGATAGGTTTATTTGAACGTCCAAAAACGGAAGCCAGTTTTCTCTCGGTTTCTCACGGGTGAACTTTATGTACTCGGACTGCTCGTTCAATAATTCAAAGCATTTGTCCATCTCCTCCTACGTAGAGAAGACGACAAAACAATCATCAACATATCTGCAGTAGAGTAGTGGCCGGAGATCAAGAACATGTTTGCCCTGCCCGTGTTGCCCTTCATGTTTTTTTATTTCTTATCGGTGACGGCATCGTGTTTTGGATCAGCAGAAGGTATCGACACAGTCATAATGAGATCTTCACCAATGTAGAGCAATGGAACCCCTCCCCGAACATTATTTGTTGATGACTGTGAAGGCGAGAGGGAACCGGTGTACTCTCTAGCTCTTCGAAGCATAAATCCTAGTGCTGCAATAAGCGCTGTGCAAACGGAGAGTAGGGAAAGCAGGTCTGAGTTTGTGTTCCAGTTGCACAAGATAACACAGGGAGAACAATGGGATAAAAAAGCTGGTAGAATTCTATCTACTCTGTCTCCACACCGTTCCCACTGTATGCAACTCATTGTTCCTTTATCTGATGAGCAGGTTTCAATTGTTGAGCTCTCCATCCACATATGCAGTAGTTTTCTGATGCCTTCTTGCGTTATCATATAGCCTCATGAATGTGTTGCTCAAACGGTTCCGTTATTGCATGTGCATCTCCTTACTTGTATTTCATTTGTCTATTCATTACGCTGGTTTATATATTGTACTCCGATCAACGTCAGTAATCTATAATTGAAGCCGCCGTTCAATACACCAAGCTGCCCAAGATAGGGTGAGACGAATAATGCGTACGAATGACATCCAGTGGACAAGAGCCGTTGGTGACTGGTTTCCTCGGGATGTAAAATGAACGGCTGGAAAGCCACCTATGGTAAGAGTTCTTCAGGAAAACCTTAGAAAAAAGGTATGATGCGCGACGAGACCGTAAAGCGACCATAGACCATTGGTATGCTCTTGCACGCGACAGGCAAAAAGGGAGATTTCCCTTTTTTCCCTCGAGTACGTCACGCGAACTCCAAGGGACAACACGGAGGTGATAGTCGGTAATTATATTACAAGTGATGGTCGGAAATTATACTATCTTCGCTATGCATCGTGCTTATAACACCAAGCATCAGTTGAGTGGTACGAATGCTAGTCGGCTTTGATAACACTTCTGGAAGGACTAGTCATTAACTAAACCTAACAAAAACGATGTTTATGAAGAACAGTTTAGTTTCGTATTCTCCATTCACGCCTAACGTAATGAATACCTCCGAAGGCTACAGATCCTTCTTTGTAGCTTGGGAAATCAACACGATGAATAACTTAACTCCAGAGTTGATCAGAAGGAAGAGAGCAGTTTGGGGACTATTTGCTAGAATCGAGAATGTATTGAATAGAACAAAGGTTACCTGACTCCATGCCCACCTCTTCGACTCCACGATTCTCCTTGCCTTAACGTATGCGTCAGAAACCTAGCCTCTACATAAGCAGGCTGAGAGATCACCAAGCGTTACAGAACGCGCATTTGAAAAGGCGATACTAGGAACATCCCTATCACCCAATTGAGGGATGGAATCTGAAGCTCCGAGCTACGTTAATGATAAATGTTCGGAGATTTCATTCTATATGCTAAATTGTCGAAGATAAGGTGGGCCAGACACGTTATTGGTATGAACGGCAACCGATGGACAAGTCGTCGAAAATTTAGCGGCGTACGCTGAAATCACTCAACGTGAACAGGGCGACAGCTGATACGGTTGGTAAGAATTTTTAAGGTCTTATCACGCTATTTGCCGACAAATGAAGTATGCGCTGCTACAGAACGCAATATCAGGCAAGGTGCAGAACTTAGCTGGAAGTTGTACAACATTCGTCCTGTATAAGACAGCACCTCCTAGTAAAGTTCCTTATTCAAGTGGTGCTCACTCCACCTGATTCAATCCGATTCTACTACGAACATCCACGTTGCAACAATGACGATCTTGAAACTATCGACTGGAATCAACGCGGTTCCGGAGAAGGCGAAGGCGCCGAGACCATGGCGGAACAAAAGTTTTTGCACCAACCTTGTGTCAGATTAATCGCGAAAAAAATTACTGAGTCCCATCTCCGTTAATGAGCTCTGACAGCAGAACATTACAATATCCTGGAGAGAGTTCTTCAAGGTAGTCTTTGCGTATGCAGCTTCCAAAAGCTTTTCGTTCTTGTGCAAATGTAGGTCATGCAAAGACGTCCAACAAAGGGCGTTTACTACTAACCACGTCGTGTGATGCAATAGAATCGCAAGAGCCTGCAATTCTCTTCTCTTTTCGAGCTCTTTTTTTGCTAATGATTTGGATGAGACCTGAACCTCTTATTTGGGGAAATGAAGCAATTTGGTAAAATGCCCTCAAAAACAGCTCGTCACACTTTTCTCGATCTCAAAGTTATACGAAGACAGGATTTAATTAAGAGCGCTCTCCTCATATAAGAATCATATTCTTCTTGAGCTATGGCATGGAAACATTTCCAGCTCTTAGCTGAATTTTCGCAATGGGCGGTGCTAGGACCCGATACAAAATGGTGGCAACCCGGAAGTGTTAGGGAACAACATTGATTATAAATAGATTATGTTTATTATTTCTTGACATGAACGTTGACGACTTGGAATAGCAAAGTAAGACGATAAAGTCACATGTAGAGAAGGCGATGGGCAATAGCTGAGTGCACCCCCAATACAGGACAAGACAGCATCAACATTTCACGGTGGATTTTTTCCCCAACTAGTGATATGGTTCACATAACCTAGTTGGAAAATCTAGCCCACCTGTTTTTTTATCTCTTGTAGGATGATGTATTTAATTTGATACGTCCAGACGCCTCAAGAGCTCTACTCTAGCCTTCACCACACGATGTCGCTGGTTGTTGTGGATCCGTGGTAAGTTTGCCACTTTGTGACTACTTTGGTGCTATAAATTGATGCCGATGTTTTTCAGCCTAGGAGACCCTGCTAGATGGATGAACCCTTGCTTTACTTAGGAGCTCGACAACCATGAACACTCCCCGACCATGATGGGACGATATCAATGGTTTGGGAACTGTATGGTTACGGGAAGAAAACAAGCAGTTCAGCTGATGCCCACACCCAAACAGGGTTATCATCTACTTCTCCAACCATTCAGCTTCTTAAGCTCATCGTATCGCTCGCGATTTCTCATTAAATCTATATCACGCCTTATAATGAAACCGTTGATGTGGGGCTATCATCGTCCACTGGTTCAAGGATAAAAAAAGGATAAAGCTCTTGTCGCCGATCCACCACTAAGGGATGCGCCATGCATCTAACTCCATTAATCATCGTTGGAGGTGATCGAAGGCGTATCCGGCTTGTACAATAAAATAAAAGGCCTATAAAATGTGTATTGCATTGCGCCTCCGACCACTGCGCTACATACACCCACCTACATCATTTACCTGGCTATTATCCGCGTCTGTCTACTAGGTTATTATAAAGATATTGTCGCATTTTAACAATAAACGCACAGACCACATCTTATAGTTAATGGAAACGACCAAATTAAGGAAGCGGATAGTCCAGTGTTACTTTTACTGAACCTGTTTATTATGTCACACGGCCCAACCTATAATTGTTTCCCGAATATTCTTACTTTTTGTTTTCTGCCTACCATAGTTTTCACGGCAGGGCACTAAGCGAAATGCAACCACAGTGTTGCTTAGATATTTGCAAAACTCCGAACCGCAGGCGTCTGCGGTGTGAACGAACGCGCTATCGTCCCTTCCGAGGAGTAACGTGTTCACCACCACACCATACGGGCCCTTTGTTTCGCCTGTCTCTCTGCTAGTTCTGTCGATCAGCGCCATCAGCAATCCTCCGTCAATGGGATTGATTTGGGAACCCACATTGGCATTGAACCAAGTTAAGCTGAAGCTGTAGTTGAAATCCCGTTGACAGGTGATTACTGATGGCGCTGATCGATAGAACTAGCAGACAGGCGAAACGAAGCATCCGCGTGGCGTGGTGGTGAACACGTTACTCCCCGGAAAGGACAACAGCGTGTTCGTTCCCCACCTTAGACACCTGTGATCCAGCTCTGCAAATATCTCAGCAACATTGTGGTTGTATTTCTTGAATAGTTCCTACTTTCTACATTGTCGTATGTTTCCCATATTAATTCCGCAAACTGTTCCTTAGTGAATATCTCACGCACCTGCCTCGCAACTTGCTGAAAAGGAATTCTGCAACTTTTTTTTTAAACAACCGTTTTTCTCCGCCCGATAGTTCGAGCGCCGAAGAAGCAGCTGTCAGTTGCAAGCATTCTTCTCAGAGATTAGGAATTCAGCATTTCCTCTAAGATTTCATATCCAGCCAGTGGCTTAGCATATCCAACGATGCTCTCACTTTACCTCTCCGGAATATTTATGAGTACAAAGAGAACGTAGCAACACTTTTTAAAAAAAATCAAAGCTAGTGGTTTCAGCTTTTTCCGCTTTTAGAACAGATTTGCACAGATAGACACTCGAACGAAGTTTACATTTAATGCAAATAAGACAATGTTCATAAGGAAGACATAGAATATGAAGAAAACAAGTGATGTACAGTAGAAGTGAAGCGAATGAAAAGAATAAAAGTGAAAAAAATTGAAAATTGGAAATTTTGGCCTAAGACATACTCGACTATCGACGTGCAAGAATAGCTTGTCTGGTCGCCTAAAAAAGAAAACAAGCTCATATGACTACTGATGAAAAGCAAAACCAATTCAAACACTATAAAATACTAACGTCAAAACATTCATTTATGTTTCGAACATCAACGTTTATAACAAAAGGACTCAATTACTAACCTCACTGAAAGTGTGAGCTATAATTTTAGAGGCAGCAATGTCTATTCGACTTCTTCCACCCAAAACTTCAGTCTTGTAAGCACACGATGCCCGTAGACGTCTGAATTTAGAAGCAAATACAGAGATGATTTCCGAAGCACTAATTTATCTTAATCCAAGATACCTCCTGCTCAAGTTGACCATTTCTGACTTTGGAAATGCTGTTATTCGCGTTGGATCAAGCATCAAACTCTTTCGCACACTGTTCACAGTGCACTTCCTCTGCACCACATCACGAGCGGCTTTCTGCAATAAAGTAACAGAAATACCGTTCAAATTTGGAGGAATGAATCGCAGTTGAACAAAAAATGACCATTTTCTCCTCCGCAACTCGATGTCTTAGAGTCGCAGCCGCTCTGATGGCAGCCTGCCTATTTTCGATACGTCTAATCAACTCTGGTCGGTTTTTTCTCAAATACATCTACAAAGAATATTGATTACTATATGGAAATGACGTTTAGGTTAAGAAATTACCGATGGGGGAAGAGGAGCTTTCCAATCTGGATGATTATCTTCTGAGCTCGACGAAAAGCTTTCGATAATAAAGACATCGCGGCCTTAAAAATTACGTCAAAACTTCATCAAAACGCTTAGTACATGAGTAGTAGTGATCCAGTGATCTATAAAAGCTTTAACAAAGATAAAGCACTTGCCGTTGACCAATCCATGAGGGAGGGCCATTCATTCGACTTCATTAAGCATTGTTTGAAGTCATTGAATACATATCTGGCTTTTATAATGACTCGTGGTGACCTATCGATGTATCGAGCCAGTGCTGCTATCCTTCTAGACAAATCTGGTACCAATTTGCTCACACCGGAGGGATGGATAGCTTGGTGGGCCATGAACGCGTAGATCGACTTCACGTGTATGTTGGAGGGCGCCTCCGAACACTGTGCCATACGCGTCCGCATTCAAGCACTAACTCCATGAATCCCATAGTTTTTAGATGTTCCCATAACTGTAGCATACATCCCTATCTTTTTTTATGTTTGTGTCACTAATTCAGTAAAGGATCAACCAAAAACAACTATCTAGCAACAACTAACTATCAAACAACTAATGTACCAAGTGTGTCTAGATGGACCACGTTATTACAGACATAGCCTACATAAACTTTTTAAAAACACCTACTTAATCTCATAGGGTTGCTGGAACAACCTTGATCTACCTCATTTTCCACATCTTTTACAACGTTGCAACGATTTCTGATCTAAAACAATACAAACTGAAATCATAGGACGGTCGAATGCCACTACATAAAAAATTAGTGCTGACCACAATTTTGATCGATCTCGATATTCCTACGAACAAAGCGCATTTAAGTTAGAGAACAAACAAAAACGACAAAAACAGATGGAAAGACGTTGGTCACTCTAACTTTGTCGGTTCAGCGAATCATTGTATTGACAAGAATGATACAGATCAATAAACACAAGTACACAGCTTTTTTAATCACTACCAGACAGTAAATAGTATGAAGGTGGTATTAATAAAGTAAGAATTGGAACGAACTTTGCTCTGTGCATTCATTTCGTTGGTCCCAGAAGAGCATTGGACGATAAACGTATTGCTCAAACTAGGAGAGCATCCGGTATTAGTGTCCAAAACCTCCTTTACGCAAGAAGAAAAAAGAAGATTTAAACAGTATGAAGTCAAAATGTATTACGTCAATGTTATGAAACACAAATTACACCTAATAACCGAACCTACCAACAGTCGAGAAACCTTTCCTGAGTGGCTTTCGTGTTGTCTTCCAGAAATTGTGTGCTTTGCGATCTTGCGAATAACGACACTTCCAGACTTAATAGTAGCTTAGAAATTACAAGAAAAGAACTGTACGGTGATGTATACAATACTAAAACTAAATAGCAGATTATTGAATACCTTTGATGATTGTGTAACAGATTTTTGAGTTAAGTGATCGCCTACGGCGTTGACATTAGATGATGAAGAAAGAGAACACTTAGTTTTGAATGTCCTAGCATTTTCACAAGACACATCCAGTGACATCGCACTTGACGAAGGATGACGATTCATTGAATCAAGATACTCGTTACATCCTTCTTCATCTTTAGCAGATGTATCGAACCTCTGCAGTTTAACAATTTTCTCCATAAGCAGATCTATCAAGAGGTCTTTCTTCTCAACTAGACGTCTAAGCCTATTAATTTCCGTCCTCAAATTGTTCTTTCCTGAGTCGCTCTCTAAACAAAAATAAATCAAAAAACTAATCATGATAGAAAGAGATGAAAACTAACCAATTAGTTTAATATCGTCCAGTTCAGCAACAGAAGAACATACTTTGTTCCTAAGCGGATGGGAAGGACTGACAGATGATGAATCATTGCCATTAGAAGTTCTAAATGTGAATATGAGGAACTTAAAATGTTATTCCACTAAAGCCTCCCCAACACTAGCTTATATCTGCTACATTTAATACAAATGATTAAAAGGTGTTAAAACCCCAGAGAAGTTGTCTTTACTAAAGGTTCGATCAACGAAAACGGGTACGATTCACAACGATATCGAAGTCAATGAATCACCCAGTCAGAATCTAAAACACTAGAGAAAAGAAAACTGAAATAAAAGTCAACTTTTCTTTAATTTACTGCCCACTACAACTTTAATGGCATGGTATTACTCGAAATAAACCACAATGATGATGAGATACTTGCAAAACTCTGGACTGCAGGTGTCTGCGTTGGCGAACGAACGCGCTATTACCCTTTCCACGGGCTAACACCTTCACCACCGCACCATGCGCCTCCATCGTTTCGCCTTTCTCTCAATTAGTTTTCATCATTATGAAACAAAAGTTATTATGCCATAATGAGCGAAAAATATGTGTAACACCAACGATGCTTCTCAATTAACAAAGCTACGTAAGTACGTAGAAAGTACGTAAAAAGTACGTAGAAAGAAAAGTACTTGCGAGATGAATTACCTGGTCAATGTACGGTTGCACCTTAGAGCAGCTCGGCGATAGGATCTCCTAAAATCACTGTACATAGAATTATTGATTACTTCCACACTGGCTGATCAATAAACGAAACCCAAAATTGAAGATCGACGTGAACACTTACCAAATTGAGCTATCCTGGATGGATCTCGAAGCATGATCTCTCATTGAGAATAAAACTGGCCTGTAATAAACGATATTAACACTTATAATCCACAAATACTCCAATACATGCACAAGAACATTTGACACGAAAACTGATAGTAACAACGAGTTATTTTACCACCAACTAACAAAATGAATTGGATTCCTCCGCAGATCGTATTGTTAGTACTTAAGTCTGGAACAGGAATAGAAAGAAAATACAACGAAAATGATAAGGAAATGGATTGAGAAAAAACACGCTAGTCTAAAATATTTCATTGCAATCATTAACTTAGCAGCAATAACCATTTTCTGACCTATACTAACAGTTTGGCGTGTGGCGCAGTGGCCCAGAACAAAACGGGAAACGTTCGAAAACCATCGTGGAAGGTGAATGCGACGAAAAGAAATCGAATGCAAGAAGTGCTGCGATCCGCACACTAGATGTTATTACCAATCACACAAAATAGAGAAAAATAAAAAAGAAATTGAGATTCTTTTGATTGCTAAGCTTTCTGGAAGTAGAATAATCGAAACCTCAAACCATTTTTCACTACGTTCTTCCTTCTTTTGTTATGTAATCGCTTAAAGGAAACAAGAAGTACAATCACTTACCCGATAAGTTTCTCGTTGAGCCCACTATAGCAAAAGACACGTAAGTGTCCTTATGAATTCGATTCGAAATTCATCCGACATTTCTAACCTCGGACTGGATATACGCATGGTTAACAGTTTTGTTTCACAATTTTTTTGTGAGAAAACCCTTCTACTGAAGTCCCTGTAGATGACGACAACCAACAATGTTAGAGAAGTACAACTATTGTTCATCAGTCAAGATGCATAACGTCTTCACTAAGTACTTTACGCATAAAATGTATCTCCTTAATCTACGGTGACCGGAACATTTCACAATGAACCTCATTATGTAATGGAAAAAGTCCAAAATGACATAAAATATTACAGTTCAGTTCGTTTCAGCTACATATAAAGCATGCCTTCCTCTTTTGAGGTAAAACGTGTTTTTCGCACTGAAGGAAGTTTATAAACGAGACTTTTTGTGGTATACACTTGGAAGTGACCTAACATCACCTTCTCGAAGGTCTGTTGAAAAAAGGAACTCATCCAACGAACAATATAAAAAAAAAACTGTTGATGAGCCCGCACATAAGAACACAGAACATTTAAGTACGAACGTTTAAGTTACATTAGAGGAGACCCCCATCGGTATAAAATTGGCTCAGTCAGACTCTGGATGGTATAAAAGAACGACGGATAAATTAATTCCCACTATTAGCTCAATTCAAGAATGTTAAAGTTCTGACCGATGTTATAGATGATCTCAATCTTTGCTTGTCGCCTAAATCAACCTCACTATTCGCGGACACATGAATAAATTTGCACCTAACATATAATTTGTTTCGTATCGCAAGCATACACTGCAGTCAGTGAAAGTGTGTTTACTTCGGCTATGTGGTTCTTCTCCTGTGCTGATTATATCTTGTGGGACCAATCCCCTCACCCCAGGCCCACCTAGCAGTCCATCCCTCCGGGGTCGACAGATTGGTACGATTTGTCTGGGAGGATAGCAGCACCGACTCCATACATCGGTTCTCCACCGCGAGTCATTGTAGAGGCTAGATATAGATTCAAACAGCTTCCACGATTCATAATGAAGTCTAATGCATATCGCATCCCTCAGGGATCGATCAACGCCGACAGCTTTACTCTCCTATTTCTATTTAGTGCTCGAATTATAGCGCACGTACAATACGTGTCACTATTTAATGCGGAAAGAAATGTTGAAAAAATTTTTACACCTTGAATAAACTTGGCATTTGGATTACATTCAAGAGTCTAACAATTGAAATCGTCAGACTGTAAGTCAAGTTTTAGTTTGCCAGCGCACTTTTTCAGCCAGTACTTAGACTAAGCATCCTCGACAATCTGTAGGACTGGTGAAGTTTTCAGGGACAATGTACAATGAATGACAATATCTAGTTTCCTATCCTAAGGAAAACTATATTCAAAAGTAAGAAACTGGCCGAAAAGATGTGGACAATGGTAAGAATTTCCATCCATGTAGAACAGTTTTCGTATGTTAGCGCTTTTTCAGGTCCAAGAGATGATGGGGGAGTAACATTATCTCTATAATATCACAGATATACATAAATTTAGCCCTAACTGGAACCTCAGTTGTTGAAATTAAGGTAGTATAAAACACACGGACCATTAAAAATTTAGACGCCTAAGGAAGACACTTGGAAAAAGCGTTATTTGGCTGACATTATTATTCGTGCTTCGTGGTGACTCAAAAATCTAAAAAGAAAAAAGAAAGCAAGTTGGAAATTAAGAACTGACGAAATAAAATGGGCACAAAATTCACTTGAATCACTGTAGCTACAAAGTTTCCAACCATGTCTGCGTCACCGACACACCGTCAGGTAGACTAACTTAAGCTACAAGAGAACAATAATCGCATAGTTTGCAAGACGCCCTCTATCTGTAACTGTTTTTTAACTGAGGTGGTTCTAACCGGTACACAGCAGAGCTATTTCCTGAAACTCGATAAAAGGAATACAGGATAAAGCTCTCGGCGTTGATCAATTCCTGAGGGATGCGCCATGCATACGACTTCGTCAAGCATCGTTAGAAGTGATTGAATGCATATCTGGCCTATATAATCACCCGCGGTGGCCTAACGATATATCGAACCAGTGCTGTTATCCTTCCAAAGAGCACTGGAGGATGGGAGGCTTGCTGGGCCTGGGATCGAACCCATGTGCATTGCAGGCCACCTCTTACCGCTGGCCACCACGTACCTTCTGAAGCTCGATATCATTGTTAATTCATCAAGTTTTACCACAGTACGCACATGATTTATACGTTGAAGGAAGCCTGTTAGCAACACATAAGTCAATCCAGCCGAGGAGAGAGTGAGTCCTGAACCCGTCCACGTTCCACTGCAACTACACTGGCTCTTTCGGTCCGTGTATAACCTCTTGTTGGCTAACCGAAGACGAGTAGGACACTTAACGTCGCAAGTGATCAGCTTTTGATCCCATATGTGAGGAAGAATCGTGCAGAGAGTAAAAATAGCTGGTAAATTATAATGCCCCATTAGTCAGGACAAATGCACAAATAAATGCACAGTGTTTCTACAATCCTGAGTAAAAGAACTTTTACACATTTCACTTAACGCAAACGAAAAGGGACCACTAAAAACTAAAGACATCCTGACAGGGCGGTTGAAAAAGGCAGAGTTTCGGGTTGTTAGAGACGGAGGTTGCATAGCGGTATTTGATCAAGGTGCAGTTACTGATTACCCACTCTATGTAAAGAGGAAAAAATCTTGAAGTATATACTACACACATGAAAATAGCATGCAGTTTAAAACACGAGCCTATACCGCAGCGCGACCACTCGCGAGGTGGCAATGGAGCGCCATATAGGAGTAAACTTGATACGTAGGACATAATGAACGTTTCTTGAATAGAAACTGTTCAACAAAAACGGTCAGATTTTTTATGACTTTATCATCGTTTAAACAAACACATTATGTTGTTGGTTGTTCACTTCTTGTTTGTCGCGAGCAGAAATGGCTACTTTCCCGAAGGTTAGGCTTATTAAATTCCTAGGTGAGATGTACGTTTTGCAGAGTAGGAGGTGCTATTTAATCGAACTAATCCGGCAAATCATCGATTCCCACTTTACGATCGATCGAAGGACTCCATTCTTTAAGTTTGCAAATTCGATCTAGACGTCCAATAGATACGTCGATATAAAAAGCGATCTTTATATTCAGGAGATATATGACTTTAGGTCTTGTTAGAGGAAAACTATAAAAGTGCTGAACGAAACCAATGCATAAATTGTTACTGGTGAATTTCAACCTTGGGCACGTTTAGCGCATTGGTCGGAGGAGCCCTGCGATGCACATGGTACCAATCCTGGCGCCCCTGGTCCAACAAGTGTTCCATCCCTCCAGGGTCGGCAAATTGGTACCAGGCTTGTCTAGGAGGATACCAGCACTGGCTCAACACATCGGTAGGCCACCTCGACTCATTGTAAAGGCCAGATATGCACTTGTTCAACGATGCTTAATGAAGTCGAGTGCATGGCGTATCTCTCAGGGATTGATCAACGTCGAAAGCTGTATCCTTTTTAAACTTGAACCTTAACTACTTTCATCGTTTAAACAACGTTTAGCGCTGATATAGCTTTGCCATAATATTTTGCAGACACCTAATGACATTTGTCGTTGTTCTTCTTAGAATGTTGTTACTCTCGAGTATTGTAAAGGGGTTTTAATCTGGCACAGGCGCACTTTTCAGTAAAAAGATAGCGTGTTTACATATATGAGAATGGTAAGTTTGTTGTTTCTGACAGATTTTGCGCTGAATGAATAGCGTTTATAGCTAGAGTAAAGTCCTAACCCTTGTGTCGTCGAGTTCCTAAGTTAGGATACGGCTGTTCTTCCCGTGTCCGCCCGTCTTACTGTCGAATATGTATATGTGTCTGGCTGCTGCTGATCTGAGTCAGCTGAGTCAAACCTCGTTCGGTCAGCTTTCCAGTCGTTCTTTTTGCGTCATCGATGTTGAGATCTGTTTACTGTGGTTCGTTTCGCACCATACTTGAGTGTCATACGGCATTTTCCACGTCATTCTCCTCATACTCTTTCCTCAAGAGTACGGTTATTTACTCATAACTTGAATCCTCTACTTTCGTAAAGTTATTATGTCTACGCAACAGACTCAATAAGCCTTGAAATGCGTCATACTTGGAGCCAAAACTCCATAACTTTAACTGTTTAGTAGTAATTAATGCTTCTAATGTGTGACATTCGTTAACATATGTTAGCAGCCTTTTACGTTCATCATATAGGTAGATACCGCATATCATGAAATTGCAAAAGAAAAAGTCTAAAGGATGAATCTCTCGGTGTTGATCAATTCTCTGAGGGATGCGCCATGTATTCGACTTCATTAAGCAGGTGACTGAATGCATATCTGGCCTTTACAACGACTCACCAGTGGCCCACCGATGTATCGAACCAGTGTTCCTATGCTCTTAGACAAGTTTGGTACCAATCTGTCGACCCCGGAGGGATGGAGTGCTCAGTGAGCCTTGGGCGCGAGGATCGATCCTATGTGCGTTGCAGGGCCCCCGAGCACTGCGCTACAAGCACCCTCATGAAAGTCTATATGCCTAACACTCAGAAACCGTTTCGAGTCGCAAATATGACGTTTCTCATTAAGACGTTAGGTAACGAGACTGACAATAGTCATGTTAGAAATACAGTACTTATATTGACATATCATATCGATTAGGACTGTAATTGTTCGAGGTCACCACTGATACTGAAGTCAACCGCTGATCTTCGACGAGGGCTACTCTGATTCAGATCCTGACAGTGTTGTGATGGAGTTATGGCGTCCAGAAGACCATCAGGATAGTGAGGATCGGTAACGGTTGGGGAGTGACTGCCTGCCTGCGTGACAACGGGCCGACGCCGAGTGCCCTCTCCATGGCGCAGCGCTGTGGCGCGCACTGTGCCGTCCCTACCGCCAACTGATCAACTTTCGCCCTTATCGACCGCGGCGGTGTTCATCGGCGGAACGTTGTGATGATGACACTGGTCACGAGTGCATTTCATCATTCCTACATTCTTACAGTCATCCTTTCATCCTTCATAATGGCTATACATCGTTGTCGGATGTGTCACACCATACAGTTCTCCTGTGGAGTTCCATGCGAAAACATTCCGAATTCGTACTTTGTGATTTCGATGCAGGAGAAGCGTTGTTATTTCTATAGTTGCTTTATCTTTTTTTATCCCATTTTGTGCTACCTATAGAACATTTTGGTCCATTCTAGTATCCTGAAATCTTTCTGGTCCATTAGGCTATCCTGAAATCTTTTCTTAGCAGAAAACTCTTTACCCTTGCCTGTGCTGCAGTGCTGTGCTCTTCAAGTGTCAACTTGAATTTCAGACTAGTTACTGGATTCGAGATAAATGTCAGCACTATTAGTACCACGTAAGTGATATGTTCGTTTAGAAGGCTCGCCGACCAAAGGTCTCCGTCATGTCGTTTTTCGGTCGGATGAAAAACCTCTTTCGGACTCCGGTCGTCGAGGTATCCAGACGGTCTCTACCACCTATTATTGAGGTAATCATTGCTAGTTGTTAGTTATATGAGTTTTTTTTTGTCCTTACGTTCGAGATACTTCACTTTCATAGCTGGATTTAGTTTGTCTTTCCACATTGAAGGTGAACGTGAATCCCTACGAGTACTGGGAGATAGTCGGCGAGCTGGGTGATGGTGCTTTCGGTAAAGTGGAGAAGGCGCTTTCGAAATCGGATCAAAGACTATTCGCTGCTGCTAAGGTAACTACTATTTAAGTACCATTGCTCTTTCAGATCTTGTCATTCTTATCGTTGTGTCCAGGCAATTGAGGTCCAAGAAGGTGAACAACTTGAAGACTTCTTGGTTGAAATCGATATTCTGACATCATGTAAGCACCCCAACATCGTCGAACTCTACGCTTGTTTCTTCTTCGAGAATAAGTTACACGTATGTTCGATTTTATTCAACTTTATTTCCATTTTTCTCATTATCTAACCATGGAACTCATTTTCAAGTTTTTCATTAGGTTTTAATCGCTTTATGCTTTCTAACTGTTAAGTACTTAACTGTCTCAAATAGTTATCTTTTTAGATGATGCTTGAATTTTGCGGTGGTGGAGCTGTTGATGCGATTATGATTGAACTCGAGAAACCACTTATCGAAAAGCAGATTGCTTATATCGCAAGGTCTTTGTTCATATTTTTAGAGGATTGCCTGTGTTAGTGTCAGTTGAGCTCCGATTCAATCAGTATGCATTCAGGTACACCTGTGAGGCTATCGCTTTTCTTCATGAACAAAATGTAATTCATCGAGATTTGAAAGCTGGAAATATCCTTCTTACATCCGAGGGAGTTGTAAAGCTGGGTTAGTAATAAATTATAGTTGAAATAAACCACTACTTAGTGAATGGCAAATTTATCACTAATTAACTGTTTTTAATCGTGGGGACATGTGGCGCAGTGGTCGCAGTCGCCCTGCGATGTACATGAGATCGATTCCCGCCCCCCGGGCTCGCCAAACTTTCCATCCATCCGGAGAGATGGAGAGAATCAAATTGATCCAAAATCCTCTATAATTTACCAGCATTTCAGCTGATTTCGGCGTATCAGCAAAGCTTAAAGATAGGAATGAAAAGAGGGATACATTCATTGGAACTCCGTATTGGTACGTCTGAGATATTATGCAAAAGTTGAAGTTAGTACCTGTTCCTACGTTAATTTACCTTGTCGAATCATATTACGTACCATCAAGAGATATTTCCTTATGTTTGTGCTGTGGCTATTTTTTGTGTCACAGATGTTGTACTCTTCCTTTACAACACTGATTTCCTTTAAGGATGGCACCCGAAGTAATGATGTGCGAGACTTTTAAGGATCAACCATACGATACGAAATCCGATATCTGGTCTTTTGGAATAACGCTCATTGAAATGGCCCAAATGGAACCACCTCATTCTAGTGTTAGTTTTCTTGGAACCTATGACTCTCACTTTTTTTCATGAAAGACCATCTATCCCCAATTACTTAAGATCAAATTACTTCAATTGGTTGAAGCTGCATATCTTACACAACTAAGTGATGCAGTACTTTATTGCACTGACAGTCATTGCAGCCTAGACCTGACCTGAATAACACGTACATTATAAATCAAATCGCCTTAAAATCTTCACGTTGTGAACGGGGTCAAAGTTTACCACATTTCAATGAAATAGTAGATTTCTGAAGTCAGTGGAGATTCTTCCACTCTTTATCTTGGCGCTATAGCACACTGCAATTATATATATGTATATAAGTGTGTATATGTGTTTATATGTATACACATATATTATATATATATATATATATATATATATATATCCTCCCAACGGTTTATCGCCTCATCGTGGACGGGAGATGTTCCTGGGCTTCGGACTGGGAACTATAACGGCGGGGTTTTTCCCCCAGCTGGATCTCCCAAGCTGAGAAGGAGTCTAGCGTTTTTATCAGGAATCCCAGCTAAGAGTAAACCAGTACCTGGGTCTGCCACCATCCTGATATGAAACTAGTCGCGTGGTGGCAAATCACTCTAATCCACAAGGGTAGCGATTGCCTGTGGTGGCGACGACCTGGGGCAGACTTTGGCCAGGCGGGCGTTGGGACTGCGGAGAATTACAACGGCTAAACCAGCGAAATTCCGAAAAAATGAAGATTACACTGGGATCCGCCTAACCAATGAGGACGGGCCATCCAAGTATCCAAGTAAGTATATACATTTATACGTACATGAATATATATGTATATACGCATACATTTACATATAAATGCATGCCTATATACACATATTTACTCGGTGAAAATGTCTCTTTTAGAAGTTTGTCGTTAAACATTCTGGTTGTTAAATCGTTGTGAACAGTCCTAGAGTGTCGTCACTCGTGGTAATGATGTTGATGCTATGATAGCAAAAAATTGTGGTCGTTTTGCTCTTTAATCGTATTGTCGTATATTTGTTCTAGGTCTCACCTATGAGAGTTCTAATAAAAGTGCAAAAATCTTCCCCACCAACACTTGAACATCCCGCTCGTTGGTCTATATTCTTCTCTGATTTCTTGGCGCAATGTTTGGTGAAGAACCCTGCGGAACGAAAAACAGCCAAGCAAATATTATCGGTGAGATACTCATCCATCCTACATGTTGATTTAGTTTAACGTTGTTGTACTTTATCGCATTTTTTGCAGCATCCATTCATTGCAAACGCTACGGATTGTGCTCCCATTATGGCCTTGTTGGCAGAAGTTAATGCTGACATTTTAGAAGAAGTAGTAATTGATGGTGATCGTGCTAGTTGCGACGAAAGTTGTGCCGATTCGGAAGACCAAGGTACGATTCCATTGCAGTGGGTCAATTTTAGTAGCAAAGTAGCTCGTTACAGTTTCGGTAGATGCGTTATGGCGGAATCCTACTCCTGTTCCACCTCCTATTAAGGAGACGATGCAAAAATGTAGTGATATCCCAGCGAAGAAGAGGGCAGCACCACCACCACCGACTATGGTCGAGGTAACTGTTACTATTGCGTATTTGGCCGCAGTTGTTTCAACACGTGCTTAGATTTATTTTACTTTTCTCATCTACTGTGTTTCTTGGTTACTTCAGATCAGTTGTTTTAGCATTCTTCAGATCCGTAAAAAGTTTAGATCAAAGTGAGTATTAGGTTGTTCGAAAATTAATGCAGGGTTTTAATTTGTTTTCGAGGTGAGCGAGTGAATGAATGAATGAGTGAGTGTCAAATAAATGGTAAAATTCTCGGGAATATCTCTATTGTGAATCAACCTGACTAGTGGAAGTAAAAACTAAAAATGTCGAAATTAGAATACACACGTTTTTTGCTAAGGTTAAACAAGTTTGTTTGTGTCTGAATCTGACAAGTCTGAATCGTTTATAACACAGGAAGTTTTCGAGACGCCTGTGGAAGTGGTGGTCGGAAGTCGATAGGTCTAGCTAGTATGGTCGATAAGACAAAGATTTGTAGTCCAATTTGTGCAACTATTTCGATACCACTTGTGAGATGAATTTGCGTATCACACTGCTGTTTTGGTATCTGATATTCCAACCTCTAAAATTTATCAAAAACAGTTTCTATGACAATCCAATTACACGGAACGAAGGTTAATAAAATGAGCTTTAAAATGATATGTAAAAGTAGAGCATTCGAAAGCTATTGCTCAAACTCTTACAAAGAAAATGAGATTATAAATTGGGTATTAGTTCTCGAGTAACAGATTGTAGGATTTTAGAAGCTGTGATATAGTTTTTTTTTCTTTTTTTTTTGTTAGGGAGGCGGTGGAGATAGCGTTTAGAAAACCAAAGGGAGATTGAGAGAGCATGGATTGAGAGGCTATAACGTTTTCAGAGATACTTTGGGAAGGAATTGATGCCCTAGTTGTCGAGTTTCAATGTGCAAGTGAAGTGTAGACATGTGCGTAGAATTCTTGCGAAACCCACAGAAACCAATCAGCTAGTTCGAAGAGTTTTCATCTGCAAATTTTTATATGTTGGAAACAGCATTTTAATATAGTATTTCTGGTTGGGGGATATCGATTTTTTGCTAGAAAGTATTGCAAGAAGAAAGCCATCGCGGAAAGGGGACGTTTGAGAAGAAAAAAAAGCGAATTGAAACCAATGCGCATTGTCGTGAATTGTGTTACAAACGGTCAGTACTGCAGAGAATTTTCCACGTGTCAGTTTTGAATGACGTACATACTGCAAAATAGACATCGAAAATGCTTGGTCTATTTCCTGGGAGAATTGCTGCAGATAAATCTCAAGAGATTAGAGGTTTCAACGCCGCCTGCATATCACTTCTTCAGACCTTGGATGAGCTTGCCGTAGTTCTGTTTAGGTTTGAGACTGTTGCTATCTAATTATGTGTTCTTATGAACTGATCTCGTTGAGCTGATGCTAGATTGGTATAAGTTATTGTTGTTGTTGTTCGTCGGTGGCTGATGTTTCGGTGATTTCGCCTTCCTCAGAGCCAGGGTGTTACGATTGGGGATGTTACTACGATTGTGCGTCGAAGTTTAAACTGTCGGAGCAGAGTCGTTCCGTAAAAGACGTTGTCCATAAGATTGAAGTAGAGGTCTAGAAGAATTAGACCAACTCTGAAGAAAGAGTTAAAATAATTGAAAGTGCGACTACAAAACGGAAAAATAAAGCGTTCTCCACTACCTATCCCATCATCTTGCCGATTTCGCAATCAGCTGAATTGTATTTTGCCTGTAATACCGTTCGTCATCGAGCAACTTAAGTGTACAACAGTAGAGTCTCTATTCGTTTATGTCAAAACAGTCCAGTGCTCTCAAACCGCTTGACGGAGATGATCACCGCGCTTTTGACAAAACGCTTCCTCAGTTCATGAATTTTGTCGCACGGTTGGACAAGGTATCGCGAGTCTTTGTCGTTGTACAGATTTTCTCTTAACTTATTTTCGAATGGAAATGTCGAGTTCCATCATTAATTTAATGATCCCACCTAGCAGTGCGCTACAAATGAACATCCAGGAACACCGGTTACCAATACTAGGTAACACACCGCCCAGAACGACATAATTGGAGGAAATTATTGCTAGAACACATACTAGAAAGTAAAGTCGCATATCACATTTCCTGTATTTATTAAATTCCATACATTCTAGTAACAGAGTTATGAGGGCTGTATGGATCTAATTAAGCTCTCATCATATTCAGCATTACCTAGATAAAGCAGTACTTCTATGTTATGTACAGTACTAATTGATGCTTGGCAGTCTGTCAGTCTGTAACGGATAAATTAAAGCAATTCATGCTGTAGTTTTTTTTCCTCCAAATAATTCATTGTTTTATCATATACTTGGTAATTTTTTTTACTGCTTCCAGAACATGACACCTCAGGAAACTAACACGAACAAGGAGGTGTTCGTTCAACCAGCGACCATATCATCAGCTCTAAAAGTAAATGCTTGGGAGTTCTGTGTTCTGTATAAAACACTTTTCGTTTCTTAGGTCTTGAACAGCGTCAAGTTTTCAGTTACATATGCAATTTTAGGCCACCAACAATCGTGTTAGCCCTGGACGTGAAGCGATCAACATTCTGGAAGATTTGAACTGTACTCTCGATAAACAGAATTTTTCTTCACCACTGACTGTAAATGACGGTCAGTTGGTAGCAAGTTCCGCATCTATGTATTACTCTCGTTATCCTCATATTTCAACTCAACCAATTCACAATTATTCATCAGGGACGCAGATTCTTAGCGTGATTACGTCTTTTCTTTCCAGATGTGGCTCTCGCCGAGCATAGCAAGGTTTCTTGTGAGTCTGCTTTATCCACAGGACTTACTGTTCACAGCCCACTTCCGCAGCATAACATTAAAGATGGTGAGCTGGTGTATATTAGCAATTCTATTTCCTGTGGCTTGTTTCGCGGAACTAAGCAAGTTGAATTAATCAGTGAGTTGTGTTGTCTTTGACTGAATACTTGGATTCGTCGACGACCCATTTTCACCAGTGCCTCAATGTCATGGTCAATGGTCGTGTGCGAGTGTCGTATTGTGATTTGTAAAACATATTCAGCTGCGAGTAAAGTTGATTGATTCTAGTTACAAATACGTCCGCCTATTGTATAGTTGGTCGTCCCAATGGACACTTGCATCCTCGTGGCCTCTATCGTACAGTTTTTCCGTCCATTTGGGGTTTGTTTTTTTTAACATGTGACTGGCAAATTTCTGTTTCGCAATCGACTTGTATTCTCTTGGATCCCGAAAATGGAGTAGAGTTCGAAGACCTGAGTTGTCCATTCCTGCTAGACGCTATGAGTGCCCGCCAAAGTTCGGAAGACATAATTCAAACGCGCTCAGGGTATAGCGCAGTATTCTTAACGTGGTTTAAGCATCAATGCACCTCTGTGCCGGTTAATAGAGCGCTGGGAGGACCATTGAGTTGGAGAGGTAAGCGTGGACTTTCGGGTACATTTATGAATTGGTGCCTTTTTTGAGAAGTTCTGATTGGGTACGTAGTGCTCTCTTTATTTTGTTTAATTCCACTTTCATGTTATTCTCCATGTTTAGGGGCGGCGAGGTACACGCCGAAGATGGTCTTTGTAATCAGAGAACCACCCAGTTTGATCTGTTCGTCTTCGCACCATGGATTTCTCATGAATTGGGCCTTTTTCCGATTTGTCCTTAGTACTATATTTCTTCCCGCTTCGTTGAGCTTATTGGTCATCGTTTCTGATTCGTTCGTACTTTTTGAGACGGTAATATTATCGGCGAAACGAAGACTTGATAGACGGTTTAGATCACTGCGTATGGCTTACTCATCTCAGTCGAGTGTCTTCACGATCCACTGCAATTGTTCCACGTAACAGCTTTGGCGATATTGTATCGCCATGTCGAACTCCGTTTGCTATGGGTATGTGGTAAGGGGTCGATGAAAAAGTAATATTTTCATGGAGTAGTTCCGGCAGCAGTCTGCTAGAGTTTTTATATTGGGACGGGTCCACTTCTTTGTCGACGGAGGCTGATATGATTGCATTCCTTTCGACACTGTCAAACGCTTTTTCATAGTCACCAAAAGTTGTGGCTACGGGCAGTGGCGTTTCCGTTTAGTGGTTAGCCAACAGGAATGTTGTTCTATGAGTCATCTGTCAGAATCGAATAGTCACCAAATCGAAATTGAATACTGGACTTCGTACAAATTTACCACCTGGAACATTTGTTGTTGCAGCAGAGCAAGGTGTAAAACTTGCAGAATTAAACCGTTTGTAACAATAGTAAGAATGTAATAACGACTGAAATGGTAATTTAATGTGTTATGAGGTACACATTGAAAGGCATATGTGAGGTTTTAATGGCTTTGATATTTCATTGGTTCTACATGTATTCTTACGAACTGCCCTTGTTAAGTTGATGCGAGATTAGTATCAGTTTTTCTTGTTGTGATTTCGTGGGTGATGGTGGGTGGCTAACGATATCTTTTCACAAGATAATGGCGTGGTCACCAAAACAGCAGTCACTGAATCAGGACAAAAACAACAACTGGCATTAACATTGCACCAGCTAGACAAGAGCAGTTTGTAAAGATATGTATATGTATATATGTATATATATATATATATGTATATATATTTATAGATTATTAATGCCGAGTTTGAAAAAAGTTGGTCCTTTGAGTTATTGGTGCTTATTGCTACAGTGTCGATTCTCTTTGGAGCCCTAGGAAAGCTTGACTACAGCGTTCCCAATTGGATTTCGGAGCGATTTCTTTCCGGACACTTCCAATACCAATTTCTCGACTCCGGAAGTAAGAGAAACTTGGTGAGGCCAGAGCGACATCGACCCAGCAACGTGCTCGTGGTGACCGCACCGCTGCCACTGTGCTGTTTGCCTTCTCATCGTTACTGAGAAGTGTTCTTGGGTCGGGCTACGATATACGGTGGTTCCAACAGGCTGAGTAAGAGTCCAGAGTTTTCATTAGAAAGCCCAGCCGAGAGTAAACCAATACCAGGATCGACTACCGTCCTGGTATGCAACTAGTCGCATGGCGGCAAGTCTCCCGGTGATCCATAAATGCGGCAACTGCCTGTGATGGTGACAACCCAGAGCCAAGTTTAGCTAGGTTGACCTCGGAATCCCAGGGAACCACGTTGCCTAAACTAGCAAAACTCCGAAAGGTTGGAATTTGTGCTGGGGTCCGCTAAAGCCGTGAAAACGGGCCATCCAAGTATCTAAGTATTCAAGTGTTAGGACAGTGATATGCATTTGATACAGCAGTGATTATGTCAAGGCTGGGCTTAGGAATTTGAATCCGCTGCTTGAAATAAAGCAACAAGGTGGTTTCGATGACTTTAAGGAGGCTAGCCACACGAATAGGATTGTCACTCAAGAAGCGATTTAAATGCATTCTCGAGTAGGCGGTGTTTGGCGTAACTTCTAAGTTTCCCAGATAGCACATGCCGACGGCCACATCAAATGAGGAAGGACGGCTGTTACAGAGAACATTCTCAGTTCTTATTACGGTATTCAGAAAAGCTTTGAATAAGAAAATGCACAAAGAGCTCCGTTTGTACAAAGAGGTTGGCAACAAGGACTATCTAGTTCACTGTTTTCTTGGTAAGAAAACGCGAGTTTGTTATTACAGCATCCATTCGTTCACATTAGCTGATGTTCCGTCGGTTTAGCCTTCTTTAGAGCTTGGAAAGATCAAATAGACCCGTAATCTACTCAACTAAGTACCTTCATGGTCTGAGCAAACACTACAATAAATAAATTTTTTTGATGGCAAAAGATCGATAGAACTAGCCGAGAGACAGGCGAAACGAAGGACCCGCATGGTGTGGTAGTGAACCCGTTACTCCCCGGAAAGGACAATAGGGCGTTCGTTCCCCACCGCAGACACCTGCGGTTCGGAGTTTTGCAAATATCTCAGCATTATAGTAGATAAATAATTTTTATTTGCATAGTAAATAGTTTCGTTTAAACACTCATGGTTTTGTTCTTTATATGCTTCCCAGTTGTTTGGTGGAGGCCAGCAGCACAGCCTTGCATAGGTGAGGAATATGCCTAACTCAGGTGACAATATCAGTCTGAGGTATGGGTTGAGGTCACGCGTGATCGCACGGCTATCCTCCTTGTGGCTCATTTCTAGTTCTTTGGAATTTATCCAAAACCCTTAGTTTTAGTGCTAATGTCCTTGATTCCTCTGCGAGATACGGTGAGATTTACTTTGAAATGTTCTGCTTTATGCCTTCGTGCCCAGTTCTGCCTAATGGAGTGTTTTATATGATTTTTTACATTTTACACGAGCCATCTTCAAACGTTCTGTGCGGATTCTTGCATTTCCTACATTCGATTTGTTTTTCTCGCATTCACCGTCGGTACTGATCTTCAAGCATTTCGCGTGTTATTTGAGCTGCTGCTTGAGCGTTTTACCTTCTTTATGAGTGTCTTAGATTGCTGGTCGAATCGATTCTGCTTTCGGTCTTGAAAATAGTAGGACTAAGGCGTCCCCACGTGGATTGGAGGACAGCGCTAGGGCGGAGATCGAACTAGTGTCTTTGCTACATGATCAACGCCATCACTAACCGATGCGCTATCCACACGCCTTTGAATGATTTCATATTTACCGTTTAGATGCTCTCCCGCACGGGCTCGGAGTGGTTTACCTGTATCTCTAACGTATTCGTCGCCATACCCCTTCCGCTTTTTCCTCCAAACCTTTCACCCATTTTGTGCCCATTGAAAATGGCTATTTTTCGCGTCAGCTCCACGGTTTCCTCCCACTGTTTTTTCCCGTGCAAACACTGGTGGCTGTTCGAAGCATGCTTTTCACAAGCGCTTTTTTATTTATGAAGGGTGGAGTAAAAGGAAAGTTCCACTATGTTTTCCTTACTTGGCTTTCGGTACTTGGTGATGTAGCCGTTTTTAGGCAGGTTGATTTGAACTTTCAATAACGGAAACCAGTCTTTCTTTGGTCTCTCCCGAATGAAATATATGCGCTTTGACTGTTGGTTTAGTATTTCAAAAGATTTGGCCATCTTCTCTTGTGTTGAGCAGGTGGCAAAACAGTCGTCGATACAACAGAAGAGAAGTCACGGGCTCCGGAGGAGGAATGTGGGAATCGGATAGCACAGAATGGTGGGAGTACCAATATGTCAAGCAGCGCCTATCTTCTGTTTATGAATAAATAGATGGTTGATCTGTGCACGTGTCTTACCGTTGGGTGACTTCAGAGTCAAGCGGTTGCTTATTTTCTTTTGGGAAAGTGATCCTCATTAAAAGAGACGTGATGTGGACAGCAATCCTACAAGACGGTTTCCATTCCCATTTCTTTTTGCTAATCCATATTTTCCAGTATTGTATTCTCCTTTGTTGACCTTTCCTATTGTGCATTGAAGTCTCCAACACCAAATTCGTACAAAGACTTACCATTATGGATTATTTCCTCCAGGTGGTAGTAGAACGCATTTATTTCGCATTCTACAGCTTAATCGGTTGGTGAGCGGTGTTTGAAGATACTGAAATTCTTATCACGCGTGCGTTGAAAACAGTGGATGGCTAAGTGAGGACAAAGGATGTTGTATGAATTGAAAAGATAGGTTGCCGGCAAAACCTTCGCCACCGATATTTCGTAGCGGTGTCTTATTTCTACAAGTGGTAAGATTCCCCTTGTTCAGTTGGCATGTGTCAATTTTCCTGCGTTTTGTTTCTGGTAGAGTGATGACGTGGAATTTAGTGCTTTGTATTGCGCTAACTTGAAATATAAACGAAGTTTGAGATAGCGATTTTTACAGATTTTAGAAATATTAGGCTAAAGCTGTTAATTTAAATGATGTATATGTTTTAGTAAAATTGTCTAGTCCTCGCTTACTTCAGTGATCCTATGAAATTTGCTTAATTCTTATTTGGTTAGTTTTTTGCAGTTGTGGAAGCTGCACGAGAGTCGAGACAATGTTCCAGCCCTCTCGTTCTGAATGAAGTGAACCGAAGTAATATTTTGTACTTTATATTTTCTCAGTTTAGATGGTTACTTTAGCAGACATGTCTAGTTTCTAGGTAACTCGCTCGTCAGCTCTTCAGAGAGTGTCTGTCCTCAGAATACACTACACAAAACTGAATCTTATCAGAGTGTACAGGATAAAGCTGTTGTAAAACTTGAAATTAATATTCCTTATGAACAAGTATGTGTGTTGATCCTTCTTTCTACCTGTGTGCTAACTTCATATTATGATAAACACTGTTTAAGAAAGACATAATATCTTATCGTTAATCCTTATTTAAATAGGACTAGTTCGTTTATGAGGAGTGGTTTATGTTATTGTTATTGGCGACAACTATTTTCCTTTAGCTTTCGAATGTGGGAGAGAGTAGCAATCGGCTTTCTGATAAAGCCAGGCAAGAAAGCCAATTAGCCAGCGGATGGGCAAAGAGGGACGGAGTTTCTAGGTCTGTAGAAAAGGTATGTGATCACTTCGTCCAATGCTTCTTGTTATAGTAGGATTCCGACTATGATCGCTTTCGTGGTTGCTAAAATAAAGAACGGAAAAACTCCGGACCGCAGGTGTCAGTAACACAGCTGAGAGAAAGACGAAGCGAAGGTCTCGTATGGTGTGGTGGTGAAAGCGGTGACCTCTGGAAAGGGTAATAACGCGTTCATTATCCACCGCGGACACCTGCTCTCCGGAGTTTTGCAAATATCTCAGCATCATTACCATTACGTTTGTTTTGAGTCCTTTTAAAGAACATTCCTGTTAACTTGCTTGTTCAGAACATCTTTTCTTAACCGTTCATTAGTAAATAATTTAATTAGTCAGGATAATAAGTGGGCGCTTTGAAGTGCCGTGTTTTTTGTAATCCTATTCCATTTAGCTTCCACTTGCAACGGAAAACTTTGCAGCGACTCCTTTATGTTCAGCGTCGGAGAAGACTATTAATCAGAAGATTCCACCGAATGCAGAAGAGTATGGAGTGAAATGCAACTTTTCCTAGCTTTACTTTCTTAAAGATAGGTTTCCGTGGCTTAGGAAACTATTTTCAGAAACTCGAAACACCGTGGTTCACTACGAAGGTCGTCTTCTCAAGGATTAGTTATGTACACTACACCGTCCTCACCGTCATCTGTTCAAGTAGTACAAAAGTCCAAAACTGAACCGCCTTTGTATTACGGTCTTTCTTCTTCAACTGCAGAATCTCTGAAAAATAACAAAGACTATAACTACTTCGACCAGTTTCCCGCTGGACCTAGTACAGAGAATGGATATGTGGGTGTTCCTTGCTTTTTTATAACACTTTCATAGATTTGGTGCAGTTTGTTCCGAACTCCGACTAATTACTACTATCTGGAAGAGGAAGTTATGTTGTATGCGTTTTCAGTTTCTAACGTCATCTCCCGTTGAGAAGAAAGCACCTCCTCCTGAACCGCCTGTGGATTATAACGATCAACAGAATTCAAAAGGTATATTTATTGCACACTTATCAATGTATATTGCGATGCTATTGACTGTTTTACTTAGAAAATGCACCACCACAGTCTATGGTGAATGAGGCTACATTTCGTAATGCACTTCAGGATGGACAGAAGGTTCAAGATAGTGTAAAACATCGCACCGCAGTTCATTTGACTTTACACAGTTGCACATTGCTGCTCTTCTAAATACAAAATGATATTCTTTAATTCAGAAAGAATTTGCTGAACAAGGAGTGGGAGTGAGGAAGCATTTACATCGGCAAACCGTAACCAAAAAAACTCGTACATATACGATTGATGGAATGCAAGTTACTTCTACAACAATGCATGTTTTGGGTGCAAAGGAGGATATGCAAATGAGGTTATTTCACGAGAGTATTTTTTTCGGGTCTGAAAATGTGTTCGCTTCATAGTAGAAACTTGTTGTAAACATTGTTGTGAGTTTAAATCGCTCATCACGTAAGTGATACAATCTTGCACGTATTGGTTGAAAGTTCTTCATTTTGTAGTTCGAAATTACTCTTCACCTTTTTTTGGTGATATTAATGGGTATCTAATTTGATTGTACAGCGGGCATGCTAGCTAAAGCTGGAGATCCGTAAAACTCCCTAAGGCTTAACTCCAGCAATCAGGCCAGTGATGGCCAGGTGTTGCTCATATAATGATTTGGGTACGAACTGCTCACGTTTTTTTCTTCGAGAGTTGCACATTCTGAGAGGAACTTTTTGCTCAATAAGCACCTTTAGTGTCAAATTGCGGTAGGATGTTTACTATTTTTCTACATGCAGCTCAATTATTTAGTATCATTTAAGTGATTTTGTCCATGTAGGCCATCCAACAATAGACTTGTTTTTTCCTGAGTAGTCTGAATTCGTATTTTCTCCTCAGTAAATTCGTAACTGGAACACATGATGACTAATCTCAGTGAGGTTGGTCAACTCATGGAACTAAGGGTTTGCTTCCAAGAAGATCTAGTAGTTAAGAAATAGAGCTCGGAAAATAAGTGCGTGGATATTATGGGAATTTCCTATATCTTTTTTGCTCTGTTTGATCGTCGAGTCAATTAAGCTCGGCGCCAGCGAACTCAATCTGTCTCCGAACCTTAGAGTCGCACATGGGACATGGAAAGCATTAGGTATTGTACGAATACCCTTTCGTGGTACTTTTTTTTTTCGAAGAAGTAACTATGGGAAGCTCTCCGAGCTTTGCTGTGGCACAGGTTTCTCTTGGTTGCGCTTCAGGATGGGCATACCAAACTAGATCTCACCTTGGAACACTTTGTTAAAGAACGTATCCCACTATAAATCACGCCTTGATACCCAAGAGAACCGCTAGCCATGGTAAGGCAACAAACCGTTGGGGTATTACTGGAATATATTAACTAAAGGTTAACTTCATATGTATCGTACATTTCTAGGAAGCAACAACTGCAAGACTTGCGGCGTCTTCAGCGTGAGGAGGCTCGACAAAAACAGGAGTTACAACTGGAGGGAGCCAATTTAGTAGAGCAACAAGAGAAGAAATTCCAACAAGAGAAAGCAGTAAACTAATAGTTTTCATATGATTTTTGAACACATGTTGCTTTTTAAATTGACTTTTCCAAATGTTTCGTTCCGGAAAACGATATCAGAAATACTATCGTTGAATTTAGTAATTGTAATGTTAACAGGATGGCTGTAATGGTAGATTATTTAATAACTTCCAGGAGGGTGAATTTAGTGGTTTTTTAAAGGGCTAGTTTAAATAGCATTCGTATAGCAGAACAGAAATAACCATTAGCTGATATTTGCAGTTCTGTGATTGTCATGGGTGAATCATTGAATTCGTTTGAATGAATCTCTGAAATGGTGATTTCTTAAGAACTACTATTATCGTTTAGTTTCAGCTTCTAACGCGGCAATATGAGATTGATATGGAAGCGTTGGAAAGAAAACAGAAGAGAGAAATCGAAGAAGCAGAGAGAGTGCAAGAAGAAGAAATGAAACAGGCTCAAAAAAGAGTGAAATATGAGCAGGTATTGGGTGTCGCGCCGTTTTCCTAAATTCTGTTTCAATCCATACAAGCATCTATTCCTTTCATTCTATTCCTAATGTTATCTCCTTTTGAGCGTAGTAATTTGGCTGCATTTATATGGCAAATCATGATGTTAGTTTATAGTTTATAAACTTTAGGGAGTTTTACATTAACTGATAAAGATGCGAATGATAAAGGGATAAAAGACAAAACTATCGACATTGATCAATCCCACCATGCATTCGACTTCATTAAGTATCGTTGGAGGTGATTGAATGCATATCTGGCCTTTACAATGACTCGCGGTGGCCTACCAATGTATCGAGCTAGTGCCGCTATCCTCCCGGACAAGTCTGTACCAATTTGCCGACCTCGGAGGGATGGAAGTGGTGCAGTGAATAACACATGATTTTTTCGAAAAAGATTGCTAAAGAATGTTAGACAACAAGCATCAAATATGGGGAAGCTTCAATCTAGACTGCAACCTTGATAACGTCTGTAATTGTCTGAAAACTTACCGCTGAAACAATAAATGTCGAAGAAATTGTGTAGTCTCCTTCATACTTCTTTTTCAGGAGAAAGATTTGCGTGCTTTCAAAGAACGTCTTAAGCAAGAGATGAAGATAATGAAGCAAGAGTTGGACATGCTTCCTCGACAACATAGAAAGGATGCGGTTAAGATGAAGAAGGATCAAATGGAGCATGAAAATCATATCAAGGTGGTTCCAGTGTTACGAGCTCCTTATGTTACTGTTATGGGGTCTTTTTTGGAAGAATTGAAATATCTCTGTTCTTCATCGTGATTTCGTTCAGGAGGCTGATTTCATAATGCAGCTTCAGAAAAACGCCGAAGCTACTCTTGCGAGGATAACGCAGAAGCATAAGGTCCGCCTTCTCCAAGTTTAGTTTTCTTCGATAATCTCTAATTCTTTGATTTAAAGGAGAAAATGGCAGCGCTCGAGCGCCAGTTCTTAATGCAGAAACATCTTTTACTGAGGGCGAAGGAAAACAGTGATTGGGAACTGGAAGAAAAGCAAATGGGAGAGAAGTGAGCTTCTATGATGTTTTGTCATCAATCTAACTTTTTACTTTCACGAAAATTGTTTCGAACGTTCTGAAAAAGGTTAATATATTTATAGATACGTGTTACATCGCAAACTATTCAAAGATGAGTACTTCTTGCTACGAACACAAATGCTTGCAAGACATCAGAAGGAGTTGGCACAAGCTCAAAAGATCAATCAGGTATATTTTTACGCCATACGGACAACTATTTATCAAAGTAGTGTCTTTCGTCTTTTCCAGTCACCTAGTTTCATTAAGCTTAAATGCTTTGAATGAGAAAAAATGATTTGTTGTTACGATTCTTATGGTTTTCAAGTGTCAGACCTATTCAATTAGAGCAATCAGCAAACAGTTTTTACATTCACTGGCTTCCATAATGCATCGTGAAATCTATTACAAGTTGGTCATCGATGATTCCTGGAAAATGAGAAACAATCTTGCTAACTTAACAAAACGTCGTTTCAGGAAGAGGAAGACGAGCTTGTTCGTGCTCTTGCTGCAGATCGTAAAAAACTGCCAAAAATGCTAAGAAATGAAGCAAAGACAAGAAGTGTAATGTTCAAAGAGAGCCTTCGAATCAGCGTTCAGGTATGTTTCGCAAGCATTAGACAGTGGAGATACATTTATGTGTCCGGACTAAGGCTTAGGTTTTCACTACTTCATTGCAGTCTATGACTCCAGCTGAGATGAGCGAAAAACTTCGACGCTTTGACGAACATGAAAATATGAGGATTAAGAACGCACTGGAAGAACACGACTTAAAAAGTGCTAAGAAAATCGCGCAGTTGAAGGAAAAACACCAACAAGCGGTTAGATGTTTCTGTAGTTGTGTTCTGAAGTGCACAGAAGAACCATTGTAATGTTATGGAATTGCGTATGTTTCATTGTTTAACATTAAACGGCTTTATTAAGATGAATGAGCTAGACGAAATGCAGAATGAGAAACGGAAGCAATTGTTGGAGAAGGAGCGTAATACTATGCAGGAACATGAGACGAAGTACTTCAGCATGAGAGAACAGTGGGAAGCAGATTTGGCTCCAAGAAAACTGGTTAGGATTCTAGTCCTTCACTTTTGGTTTTTTTGCTCCATAGGTTTTCTTCTGCATTCATACATCCTTCATCACTCGATTGTTACTTTTATATCACGAATAAAACTGCGAAATTTAGGGAAATCGCGTTGTCTTATCGTTTTTGATTTCAAAAGAAAACGTATGTTTGCCCCTTGTAATTATTGCCGAGCATTTTCATGGGGAAAATTTCCGACTTACGTACTGGAGAGTGGCTTGAGTGACACACTTTTAGCTGTTGGAGAGCCGTTTTCAAGATGAAATGGAAGCACAGGAGCGATTTTATGGTATTTCTATCAGTGGATCAATCACATCGACGCCAATTATGCCAACCCGAATACATTGATTTTTAGTGAAACTAAAAATTTCCACTGAATTCCAGTAACCAGTCCCAATAGTTTTTGTTATGATTCTCATAGGTATGTGAGCTTTGTCATCGATGTTTCACTTCGCGCACGCCAACTAGTTTTTCCCATTGTTGCTTGCTAGACCCCCTCCTGGATTTCTGGATTTGTGATCGTTGATAACTGATGACTATGACGATATTGTAACACATACTGGTCACGTTCGTTCGGTTTCATACCATATTCAGTTGATGTGATCGTCTGAACATATTGATAATGAATACTCACTCTAAAGTCGCCTTGTATATTCGCCTCATTGTCCAGTCAAACGACAACTATCAGAAGATATTGATTACGAGTTCTACTAAAAGACTTGACATATAACGTAACACTTGTTCTGATTATATCTAATGACTTGTATCTTCTGTTTTGTGTAAAAAAGTGTAATAAAGTATTGGTAACGGTTGTTTGAATGTGGACTGAGAGGGCATGTCCTTTCTTGATTTCGGTATGCGTAGTTTCTTCCTGGCTACCGATGTTGGATAGAGTGACACATATTTGTTATGTAGCTTGAAAACCGGTATAAATTACGATTCTTTGGTTTTTTGACACGTAACGTTTGAACGGTTTTGTGTTGTACTGATTTTGGACTAGTGAAACCGCAAAGATGATACAGTGGGCTTCCCATTCGAGGTACTCCTGTTTGGGGAGTCGGTGTTTGAGTGATAAGAAGTTGTGTTGTTCTAAAGTATAGTAGTAATATGTCACAGGAAGAAAAAAGCCAGAACTGGATTGCCGTCGATGTGAACGAAAACAACCAGTTATCATGTTACCAGTGTCACCAGATTACGGACCATTCATTCGATGGGCCACTACTGATGATATACACCTGAGCTAAAGCAGCGAGGTGCCAGTGGTTCGCACAGGCCATATGGTCGAATATCGTCGTAGTAGACGACACTTGTAGTGCAATAGCACTACCGAAGAACACTGACGCTACACTGAGTTCGATTCAGACAATGCGGACTGCGAATTACTCAGTTCAGCTATCATGTGATAGTGTCATCAGATTACGGACCATTGATCCGATGGGCCACAACTGCCCACACGCACGCATGAGTTGAAGTGACGACGCGCCGATGACTCATGCAAGCCAGCTGATCGGCTAACATCGTCGTAGTAAACGATGCGACTGACTGAGTTCAGTTGCACTTCACTTGTCCTTGTCGTGTGTCTAATCTACGACCACTAAACGCTAATCACACACGCACGCACGACGGCCACATTCATCACAGTGCCTCCCAATGCTACCACCACCAACATCCCTATCTCTCAGCTGACCTTGGTGTTCGCCAGAGAAAACCAGCTCCGTTGCTAACATATTCGGTCGCAGTGTTCATGTTTATGTGGAAAACGCGTTGTGCCACTTTATTGATGAATGGTTAGGTGGTATTGCCGACATTTGAATCGATGTGGTAGCTGCTAGTTGCTGACAGGCTTACTTATTATATGCCTCATGATAATAAACACTATCATGCGATCGATGACGTCACCAGCCTTCGTTTTTTCCCATGGCCACTTTCGTTGACGGAGTTTATCCTCCCCGAACTAAAGTCGAATCATTTCAGATGTGCTACTTGTAGTAACAACTAACTAACTAGCAATGGAGTGTTATGTACGTATTTACCTTCAAGGAGACAGTCTCCTTAGTCCGTCATCTTTAGTCGATGCTGCTCAGCACAGTTCTAATCTTCCGCTTACAATCAGTAGTCCATCCGGTGATTATATTGGTCTGGAATTCAGTCGTGTCAGGTTAGTTGTCTTTCGTTTTGGGGATTCAAACTACTTTCTGTCGATTTTAACGTATTATGAAACTTGTTTTATGTTCTCGCTTAAGGTTTTCTGTTCTTAGGTTTGTAGGAAAGCTATATGAGCTTCTATTACCTGATTTTCTTTTAGGAATTCTCCATTGTCCTACTTGGATGTGAGTTTATTCATGTAGTCAGATGTGAAGCTTGACTTGTTCTATCGTTTACTGTTCTCTTCTAATGGACATGCCTTCAGGCGACACACTGTCATTTCGAAGAGGAAGCATTTGGTTTATTAAGCACACTAAGTGCTTGCTCTCCTTCTACAATATCGGGTATCATATCGACGGGTTCTAATTATTTTATTCTCGATACAAAAAATTCGACCAATTTTGTTCTACTGCCACAGAGCGTCGATAGCTGTGGTACGTTTAGACGTTTATACTTTTTTGGTTTACTCTTCGATCAGAAAATAGTCTGAACAGAGCGCAGTGCTTGGAGGCATCCTACAATACACATAAGATCGATCCCTGCGCCTCTAGCCCACCAAACCTTCCATGCCTCTGGGGTCTAAAGATTTGTACCAGGCTCACCTGGGAGGATAACAGCGTTGGCACAGCATATCGATAGGCCACCGTCAGTCATTGTCAAGGGCAGATATGAATTCATCTACTCCAGCAATGCTTAATGAAATCGAATGCATGACACGTCTATCAGGGATTGATCAACACCGGGAGCTTTGTCCTTTTTCTATTCTGCTTCGATTTATCATTGCTGGTGTGGTGGTCGTGAGTGATTCTTTGAAGTTTTTATTTGTTTATGACATATGTGCCTACCAAACGATTCTGCTGTACAGATTTTGAAATGATTTCAGTGCTAACAACTCGAATAAGAAGAGATGCGAAAACTAAAACGGCTACCTTACCCACTTATTATTCCGATTTTAACGATGGAAAGTGGCGTTACGTTGAACTCGCTCTCGTTGCTGACTATTCAGTGGTATGAATGAAGTGTCTATCTTTTACTTGAACATTTTTCTTTAGAATTTAGTTAATCATGTTATTTATAACTAGCGAAGAGTCACGAAATGAACGCCAGACTACTTAGTTCATGGACTTTTTCTTTGTTTCTTTTCGATATGAGCTGTTCAGTTTATAATCGCTACCATAGAGGGTCTAAACTAAATAACCACGTTTCATTAAGTGAAAAGGCCGACGTTCTATAAACCTCGGCATAAATTACCGGTGTATTTACTTATATGTTCTTATGAATTGCCCTTAGTTGAGCTGATGCGAGGTTGGTATAGGTTGTTGTTGTTAGTTGTTAGTTATTGTTGTTGTTGTTGCTGTCGTTGCCGTTGTTGTTGTTGTTCGATGGCTGACGTCTCGGCGGTTTTGCCTTTCTCAGAGTGGTGCTGTTACGAGTGGTTGCTTTGTAGTACCTCGATCTTCTCAGTACTTGTAGCGTCATTTTAGCGCACATAATGGTTTCATAAATGGTCATGTGTATGCAATTTTGAGACTATTCTCTGTTATTCCATTAACTAAAAAAACTTGGGTAATCGTACTATTGCTTTTAACACATTATTATTCCACAATTTCTCCCATTGCTAGCTTTCTTGGTTGCGTTCTTAACGCGTGCCTCATTTTCAGTTTATCTTCATATTTGAAAACTTGCTTTCATTCCACTAATTTATGGCACCAATAACTTACCCTTCGGGTTTTTCTTAGGGAGAGATGAGATGGCTTACCCTCGAGATGACTTTCCTAATTTACGCTTAGGTGCAACTTGAGGATTTTTTTTCGACTTTAGCGTCAAGTATAGCTTAACGTACACATAGCACACTGTTAGCAAAGCATATTTACGCTCGCTCAAAAAGTTTTTCTGCTCGCGTTTCTTCTTTATATGTTATTACTAAATCATCTTTAGTATGCAAAGTACGATAAGGATGAGAAAAAGGTGAACGAACGTCTTCAAACAATAGCTCACCATGTCAATGCGGTTAGTGGTCTTCATTCTTCTCTGTGATGAACCGTTTTTGGCATTCTGTATCAGTTTTTTATCCAGCTCTACTATCCTTTGAATATACGTATTACACTAGTATGGGTGGATATTTGGAAGGATGGTGACAAATTCGAAGTTGCGACAAGTGGTGACCACACTTTGGATGGTTTTCTTAATTATCGGAAAGATATCATCAAAGCCCATCCGAACGACAATGCCCATATGCTGACGTAAGATCCTGTGCTAAAAGTATTCGTTTCCTTTCGTGTGTTTTTTATGGCTTAGGCTTAATTTGTATTGTTGCAGTGACATTCACTTTGAATCCAACGTTGTCGGTAAGGCGTTTAAGGGAACGATGTGCTCGTACGATTACTCTGGCGGTGTTGACGTGGTTTGTCGTTTTCGGCCTTCATTATCGGCGTTTTTCTTTTCTGTGTGGGTCATCTTTGCATTTACGTAGTGAATACATTACATAGGATCACAGTAGCAATGCTGCTGTTGTGGCTGCCACAGTGGCGCATGAAATGGGCCATAACTTTGGTATGGAGCATGATGTTGACTACGGCACGACATGTAACTGTCCAGGAAACCAGTGTGTTATGGCACCGTCGTCTGGGTTTGCTTGCTACCTTACTACACTAAAACGTTTTAGATTTGTTAAGTTCGTTCAAGAGCTTTTGTTCAGAGTCTCACCGCCATCGTTTTGGTCGGATTGTAGCTTACGTTACCTTTACAACAGCTTTAGTCGTGGTGTTGACTTGTGCTTGAAGAATCCGCCGGAGAGAACAATTGGTGACGCCAAATGTGGAAATGGGATTGTGGAGCCAGGAGAGGTAACTGGACCATGTATACGTCCCTATATTTTTTTAAGATAAGGGTATTCATGAGCTGACGGACCACTATATTCAGTTCAACATCGGTTTAGGAATGCGACTGTGGTCTAAAACAGTGTCTGCATTCATGCTGTGATGGGAAAACATGTCGGTTGGCAAAAGAAGCTGAATGCGCCGATGGCGACTGTTGTGATCTTTTCACCTGCAAGGTTTTTTCATTTTTCATTGTTTGATTTTTGAAAGAAGCTTTTTACACACTTAGTGTTCTTTCCTCTCGAATTATATTATTTCTAAGCCGAAACCGCGGGCAACAGTTTGCCGAGCATCCGTTGGAATCTGTGATTTGCCGGAATTTTGCAATGGTGAAACACCTGACTGTCCAGCTGATTTTTTCTTGCAGAATGGGCTTGTATGTCCTGGTAGAGTAAATGTTAGTTCCTTGATTTAGAATTGCAAAATTTCTGTTTTCCTTTTCGTATTGTTTGAAGGTGAGATACTGTAAAGAGTGGCTTGGCAGAACTTTTCCTTTTTCCTTTTTTAAAACCAATGTAGTGAGCAGAGAAAACCAGAGAGCTAACAGCACCCTGATCCAATTATCGGAACAGAGTGTGAAGAAGAACAAATCATTAAAACGTTCACGATTATCCCATTTTTCTTTTCTGATAACTCATTTGAGTCTTCATGACAAGTTTCGCCCTTTCCTACAAGAGCACACATATTTTTCTGTACACTGCTTCTGTTTTTAATTTTTAAAATCTAAATGCGGAAAAAACTAATAAAGGATAAAATGATAGAGCTCTTGGCATCGATAATTCCATGAGGGATGCGCCATGCATTCGACTTCACTGGACATCGTTTGGAGGTGATTGAATGCATATCCAGCTTTTACAATGACTCGCGGTGTCTTACCGATGTATCGAGTCAGTGCTGCCATCCTCTCAGACAAGTCTGGTACGAATTTGCCGATCCCGGTGGGATGGAGGGCTTGTTGGGCCACGAGTGCGGGAATCGATCCCGTGTGTCCCGCAGGGTGCCTCCAACTACTGCGCCATGCGAGCCACGAAAAAAACTAATACCACGGAAAATTAGAGCTGTTAGCACTAGTGCTATATCTGCAAAGATTGAGGATACGTTAGGCGTCATTGTGTTGTACTGGAGGAAATACTTGTATCGCTTCGCTTTAAAAGATCCGGGCGTCAGAAAGGCTGTGTAATATCCGGGCTTCATCTTACTAGAATGGGATATATAGCATGTTTTTAGTAACGACTTGCAGATTTTAATGTTTTTTAACCTAATTAATACGTCTCGTTATCTGAAACATCGTCATTTAAATCTGAAAGACTAGCGGTAAGTTATTGGTCGATTCAGAAATAACGGTGGTTTTTCATTCATGAACTTCACGAATGCAGTTTTTAATATTCGTTTCTTGCCTATATTGTTGTTTTGCCAACAAAAAGGTTCAATTCCATTTCATGATAACACTGAACTAAACGTTGTGCAACTAACGCTGCAGAAGTTTGACGAGTTAGGCTGCGCAATTTTATCTCACCCATCGTACTCATCGGAGCTCTTTCCAATCGAGTAGTATTTTATGAAAGGCATCGTCAAGTGCTTCCTAGGAAAGCGCTCTGCAGCCAAGCCGTTGCCACCCTTGCCTTTGGGATTTTATCTTTCAGGGGTAATCAAATTTGTGTGTTGTTGGGAAGGAAAATGTATATTCTAATATGTTTCTTCCAGTTTGCAATCTCAACTCGATTTCGTTAAATTTTTTTTCAAGAAAAAGCTCAGAAAATTATTATTAACATATTAAACTATGCCTATTGATCCATGCTTGACTAGTAGCAATAGCATCGTTTGGCTCTAAACGGATATTTCAACCCATGATCTACTTTACTCATTGAGATAGAAATCAGTGTTTTCTTCAGATCTATATCAACAACATGCAATCCTTGTTGCCTAAATTTTAGCTGGTTTTTTTCGGAGCTTGTCAGGTTCTTCTAGACCTTTGTTTCAATGTCATTAACAACGGCTGCTGAACGGCTCTCCTTCACTAGCTGGAATTTCACCGTACTGTAACAGTGATAGCGGCAAACGCAAACAAAAGTTGAGAAGAGGGTTCAGCATCTAGAGAATGGTGTATGGTAGTTGATTTTACTAGTTTCGGTTAGGAGGCGGAATTGCTAGGAAACGTGGAGTTTGTCGACGTTCGCTAATGAATCTTAGTGCTATAAGAAAGTCGATGGGAAGTAAAATCAACTATTATACACCATTCTCTAGATGTTTGCGAGGATAACAGCACTGGCTGGATACATCGGCAGGCCACCGCGATTCATTGCAAAGGCCAGATATGCATTCAGTCACCTTTAAACAATACTTAATGAAGTCGAATGCAGGGAGCATCCTTAAGGAATTCATTAACGTCGGCACTGATCAACGCCGAGAGCTTTCCCGTTTTGATTTTAATTCCCATCGACTTTCTTGTAGCACTAAGATTCATTAGCGAACGTCGACAAACTCCACGTTTCTTAGCAATTCCGCCTCCTAACCGAAACTAGTAAAGCAACTACTATACATCGTTCTCTAGATGCTGAACCCTCTTCTCAACTTTTGAAACGGCACACTCGCCCACAAGTTGGAAATTATCACTGACAAATTCGCGGAATTCGCAACAACGATGGACGTTTGGAATCTAACGTTTTTGAATGCTCGATCCTTAACAGGAAATGAAAAAGGTGGAAGAAATGGTACTACACGTCTTTACTGTTTTGCATGTGCTTTGGCGATTTGGCGCTATAAATTCTTGAATTTTATTTTGGAAGGTTACTGTCTGATATCGTAATCCAATTGTAGTAAATAATCTTTGGCTTTTCTTAATTTTTTGACGCTTTGAATTTTCGGTCTTCGCTAAAATTACTATTTCCAACAGCAAACAAACCATAGCGTTTTTTTCGCCTTGTTTTGTTCAAGCCTGGTATTTCGAACAGCATATAGGTCGAATAAGAAAGATTTCATACAGAATGCGAAAAAATTTGGAGTATACCTGGAGCAATAGGATAGATTTTTTTTCTGTACACCAATATATCTGGGCGCGTGTAATGCAGTGATCGGAGACACCGTACAATACGCATGGGGTCGATCCCGACACCCATGGCCCACCAAGCCTTCTCTCTCTTCGAGATCGGTAAATTCATAGCGCAGTTGTCTGAGAGAATAACGGCACTGGCTGAATACATCGGTAGGCTACTGCGAGTCGTTTTATATGCCTGATATGCTTTCAGTGCCCCCAACGGTGTTCAATGAAGTCGAATGCATGACGCATTCCTCAGGAATATATCAAAGCCGAGAACTTTTTTCTATACTTGTCTACCGAGAACGTCGGATTCTTCTCTATAATCTCCTCTAGTTTTCAGTTCCTCAAATTTTGTAGTTGAAGAAGTTGTTTGTACTTGTTGGAAGGTCGGAAAAGTTGTGAATATATTGAAGTATGTTTCAAGCTTTCCCCATGAATCCAATTAATAAACTCTGTATGTTCATGCTATAGTCCATCGCTCCTCCCACCGGTTTGGCGCCTGATTGTGGCTGGTAGGTGTTCGTGAGTATCGGACTACGGTGTACAGCGGGAGGATTCATCCCCGCTGCCGGGTATCCTAAGCCGAGAAACAGTCCGACGTTTCCATCAGGAAGCCCAGCTGAGAGTAAACCAATACCAGGATCCACCACCGTCCTGATACCAAACTAGTCGCATGGTGGCAAACCCCTCTCTGATCCACAAAGGCGGCCACTGCCTGTGGTGGTGACGACCCGGAGTAGGCATTGACCTGACTGGCCTCTTGACTCCAGAGAACCATAATGGTTAGACCGATAAAACTCTGACAAAGTGGAGATTATGCTGGTGCCCGCACAACTAGTGAGGACGGGCCATGCAGGTATCCAAGTATGTAGTTTGTCGCTATAAAGTTAACCTAACCATTTACGGTCTCATTGGTTGCAATCACTGCAGAGTGCCATTATGCTTTTCCCATTAAATAATGTAGTTTTTAATCTTTGCCTAAGGATGCTGCTACCACGATAGCAATGTTTGTTTTCTTGATTTTTTTTTGTTTATTAGTAATAAATAATAATCAACAATATTAAACTAACACTCCATTAACAAATACTTTATTGTGGAATGGTTTCTGGTCGGATAGCACCGATCCTAAGCTCTGAAAACTATTGTCGGGTAGGGCATTCGTCATTCATAATGGAATTAAATCGAAATCGGTTCAAAAGATTATTTCCTGCTCATTTATTGTCATTGGCACACTTAGAAGACTATTGTTTGGGTTTTTCAGGAGTTTTGTTATGAAGGTCTATGTGGTAGTCGTCCGGACCAATGCGTCTCCATATGGGGACCCACTGCAAAAGAAGGTGTTAGCGCATGCTATCAACAAAACATTAATGGAATCATCCAGGGTAACTGTGGATATGATGTTCTTTCCTCGCGGTTCACTCCATGTCTACCTGAGTTCGTGTGTATTCTTCAGACTTTATGGTGTAATTTATTCCCTAGCATATGCTACTTAATACATTTAGTTCGTTTGCCATTTGTTCACTCAACAAAAAACGCGTTTAGGTGAACTGTTTATCCAAAGTGAAGTCTATAAATTTCTATTCGTATTTAAAGGGTCATTTTTTCTTTGAAGTGATATCATGTGCGGGAGACTGCAGTGTGGAACCCAGGCTGAACGTCCCATATTTGGCGATCCAACTACCGTTTCATCGGCATACACGTATGTGAGAGTTGGTAAGTGCCTAGTTTTAACAGTTTTTATGAAAAGTAAGTTTTGGTATGTGCCTAGTTTTAGCAGTTTCTATGAAAAGTAAGTTATCTTATTTTTTTACAGGAACTGAAAGTCATCAATGCCATGTCATACGAACAACTTACGTTGGACAAAAGAATAAACCAGATCCTGGTATGGTTCTAGATGGCTCGCATTGTGGTGATGATAAGGTGGTGATGCACTTCTATTACAAACACTGTCATCTTTAAGATAGCAAACCCTGTTCAGATCTGTGCTAATGCAAAGTGCAAGCCTCTTAGTGAAGTGTACAAAACAGTTTCAAAATGTAATGATCAGTGTCATTACAGAGGTCTGCTTCTAACTATATTCGCTTTCCAATTTTGGTTCTTTAGACCCTTTCTGGAGTTTCAGGTGTCTGTAATAACGTTGGAAACTGTCACTGCGAAAATGGTTTTGGTGGTATCGCTTGTGAAATACCTGGTTTTGGTGGTTCTGTTAACAGTAATCCTTCCAACACGAGCAGAGGGTATCCTTCATGTTTTGTTTTGACGTTGATTTGAAGTAGTGGGTATTTGGAGCTTATTGTTAATGTGCTATTCAGAGATTTTAACGCAAACCCTATTTAGGATTACCCCATCAACGGTTTTGCTGGTCCTCTTCGCTATTTTCTCAGTGGCATTCGTTCTCGTCTGTATGTATTACAGGTTTAAAAAGCGCCGGAATCTCCCTGGAGAGTAAGTTTTTTTTCTTACAAGCACATTGTTGTGTGATATTTGCAGAACTCACACCTTAGGCTAGATTCTAACTCGTGATCGTCTTTTCTGGGGTACTCCATTTAGAGCAAAAAATTGGCTGAGAGAGAGTGAAATCGAAGGCCTTAGTGGTATATTCGGTAACAAATGAACTTTTGGAAAGGGTAGTCGCGGATTTGAATTTGGCCTGTGCTGTTAGCTTTGCAAATATCTCAGCATCGTTGTAGTTGTATTTCACACAATACCCTTTCGTGATAAAATATTAGGCACTAAAAAAAAGTTGAGCATTGTGCTTTTTCTCAATTGTAATGCTGCTTGCTTTGTAGTTTTTTTTTTTTTACAACGACAGTTTAAGGTTTTGGCAATATGCAAGAAAGACCCTTAATTTGCATGGCGTACTAGTTCCAGTTCGAAAGGCACCACCTCCACCTGGTGGAAGAAGGCATTTGAAAAGGTATTTATTGCCCAATGATGTTTTATTTTACTCGTCATATTATCTTATATCTATGGTGTTCGAAATTTCGTTGTTGGTGAGTCCGTAGACTTACATCAACACTCTTGTGATGAGTGACCTTTATTGGGGTTATTTAGAAGTTGTCGGTGCTGTTTTCCCACATTTCTTGTGATTAATAACTTGCTTATAGAACACAGATTTTGTTTTGGGCGTTGATCGAAAAAAATCTCTATTCTGAACTTAGAAATATACAAAAAAGCCGTTTTCTGAACGAGTTCACTAGTCGGAAATTTGGCTGTTAAACGACTATTTTTTTCATTTCTTATTGCTGTAGTGAATCAAAATTATCATGTAGAGAGTACGGGTATAAAAAGTTCTGAATCAGGGACGCATACGTTGCAAAACATTTCCAACTACTTAGCAGTAATGCGCTTGTGCGATAAATCATAGTAACGTATGGTAAATACTTGGATATTTGGATGACCCATCTTCACTGATTGTGTGAGCCCCAGCATAATTCCCGTTGTTCCGGAGTTTTGCTGGATTAGCCACTATGGTTTCTTGAAGTTCAGAGTACAATATGGCCAAACTCTGCCCCAGCTCTTCACCACCATGGGCAGTCGCAGCCCTTGTGGATCAGAGGGAGATTTACCACCATGCGACTTTGGTACCAGTACGGTGGTGGACCCTGGTATTGGTTTACTACTAGTTAGGCTTCTCGATGGAAACGCCGAACTCCTTCTCAGCTTAGGAAACCTTGCCGGGGAATGAGTTCGTTGTACATCGCAGTCCGGCACCCAGGAACTCCTCCCAGCCACGATGAGGCGGTAACTCGTTGAGAGGACATGTAGTAAATAGCACCATACATATCAATAGAACGATGCAACAGGATGTTTTCCCTAATCTCCCCATGTTTTCAATCCACCAAGTCCTCTATTTATCGAGAAATTATTGCTTATTAGATGGAAAACCATGGTTTCCTTAAAGGCTGAAAATTAGGCGTCGTTCGTTGTAGCAGAAAAGGGTTCTAAATGTTATTTTGTATCTACCGATTGTGTTGTAGATCTAAATAAGTAGTTAAGTAGATTAGTGCAACTACTTCAGGGAAAGCTTGAGTGCGATGTGGGGCGATGGTGTATTGAACTATTCAGTAAACGAACGACCTCCATCTTTCATGCCGCCAGCGATTCCTCTCGTGAGCATCAACCCTAGTTCTCCTCAGGCGAGAAGTTCTGACCACCTTCTGACACATGTTTCTGTCTCATCACCTTCTTCAAAACTCAAGGTGTAAATACAATTTTTATCGCATAAGTAATTTTTACTCTATGTTGATGTTAACTGTTTGTGGTGAATAAGCGCATAAAAGTTGTAGGCTACGTTCACTAGAGTGCCCTCTATGCGGCCGAAGGAACCTCCTCCGGTTGTACCATCTCGTCCACGTGAATCACGAATTGCTGAGCTTTACAGAGAAAGAGGAGCAGAAATGGGGATTTTGAGGTACTGATTTATACCGGTTGGTCTTTCTTGTATGTCTCATATCTGTTGCGCATGCGAAATTATGTCGTCATTTAAGTAGAGTTCATTTCTTCCCCGAAACAATTATGCATATTTATCCGCATTTTTACAGTTTGTTTTGTATATGTTTGCTAAAACTTCTGGTTTTTTTTAATAGTTTCGATGCTCATGAAAGCCATTTGAACGCCAGTGGAAATCTAATTTGGAGTCATACGTAGTGGATTTTCCTTTTTTTGATCCTTCTTTTGCAAAAAAAAAACCCCCTGTTGTCTAGGGTTTGAATTCTGCCAAACAATTCATGCGACTTTAAGTTCCTCGATTTCAGCCCGGTTCCTGTTGATTTTGCGTCTAGGGATCTTCCGTCTCCACCTGCAAACGAGGAGGGAGTTTCTATGAAGAAAGATGCTGTACGTCCAGTCCAGCCGCCACCACTTCCTCCATCCAAGCACCTGGTCGGGTTACCTCTCATAGATCATGCAAGGTTATGTTTCGAGTTTAATTTTTCAGAAACCGAGCCTAAATTTGGAGAATGTAGATCGACCTCCGTTACCACAGAAGCCTCCAAAAGTTCTCGGCAGGACTGAAACAGGCGTCGATGTCCGCGAACTAGCTGCGAAGTTCGATGCAAAGCTACATGTAACTCAGGCGAAATGAATGTAGAAGTTTCCACGGAAGCAGATGCTCCTAATATTTTGATATAACCAACCAACTTCATCAGTCATAGAGTGGACCTGCTAACACGTACCTAGTCCTATTCTCGAGTTCAGCTGTCTGTTCACGATTTTATCCTCATTGTGTTGTCCCACAAAATGTTGAAGCGGTAGTAAGCTAGATTTCTTTCCTTTTCTTCCTCCAAACTTCCTACCACATACGGTCAAAAAACGCTGAACTATAAGGGTGTACCCTTCTTAACCTGCATAAAGCAGTAAAAAAAAGCCAAGCATCACAAACGCTAAAGTATGGTGCGTATTTCTCATAATTAATCTTCATTTTCTTTCCTTTTTTCTAAGACATCATGCTAATCCACTTTGTACCCATCTATTCTGTACCTCTCATTGCTGTGCTTTCGCAAGTCTACGCATCAAATCACATTCGTATTTGCCAATTTTTACGGGATATTTTTTATGTTTTTTCACCAGTGCTGAGCAACACACTATTCCAGGCTATTGACTGTTTCGTGGGCTGGGTGGGATTGTTTAATTTGCTAGCCGTCATTATTAACACGGTGAATTTTTTTTCACTAGTTGGACAGCGTATCCATCTAGCTCCTTTGTTTTTTCTCCATCTATAATGGTTTTCACATCATTGTTTTGTTCAGTTTTTAAAGTTGGAAATTGGAAGGCGTATTGTCTGCCTGTGCATTTCTCCACTTTGCATGTTACTGTGGCAAACATAGGTTATACTTACACAAAGCATAAAGTGAAGCAATGTTTTGAAAAGTTACAATGTTGTCAGATTTTTCAGAACATAAGTTTTTTATTCAGTGATCATTGCTGTGCTTAGTTTTTAAGGTGAGGTCATACTGAAGTTGTATGATGAATTTCGCCATCTGCGGTGAAGTCTTAAATAAGCTGGGTGGGGAAGTCGTTCTGAGGGGATTTGATACTTAATATTACTAATTGGTGTTGCTAAATGTTCACTTGTAGTATACTTTTAGGTGAGGATATGCAAATAGTGATGGAGCTCGACATTTCCATCTACAGGTAAGCTGGGAGAAAATCTATGCAGCAACTAAGGCTAGTGCTGCCATGACCAACCTTTCGACGAAAATTTTAGACAAAGGATGCGTCCTGTCAAAATTGTGTTCATCTGTTTCGTTGGGCGGTCTGAGATCACTAGAGTGGTTTCACACAAACGAATGGAGACTGCTGGTGTGCACCTCTTCTCAGACGACAAACTAGTATATGACTTAGCGAGAAGGCAAGAATATAAGGCAATAAAAATATGAAGCAATGTAAAACAAAGATAAATTTTGTTAATAGCCAACGTAATTAACATGTGAGACATGCGGATAACGTGGAAAATGGGTATTATTCATGGAAATTGTTGCGACCCTCATGTTACTGCTTTAGGATGCGTGAAAAACTAGCAAATTAATTCTACCACATCAAGTAAGAAGGCTAGAAGGAGAGATAGTGTACCTGAATGAATACGAAATCGTAGGAAAGGTCAGCATACAAAAATTTCAAAGAGAGAGAGAGGGATAAAAGATTCATGTAAGAAGTTAGAAAATGTGCATAGCAAAAGAAAAACACGCCATTCCGTGGAGGACGTCTCCTCCTCCGCCTTTAGCGGAGAGGTTGGTGGGGTGGGTTTTCTGCTTCCAGCTGTTTGGAAAACGTAAGTCGGCTGCATTGTTGGAGGTTCTTCTTAATGGATTGCTCATCGAGTTGAGTCTGCTGTGTTCATACGGGAATAGCACATAGAACTCTCCGTAAAACACGAGGTTGTTGTTTCAATTTTATTCACAAATAAACACGTTCGGGTGGGTTTTGTCCACTTCAGAGCCTGGAAAGGTCAAGATCACTGCAAACTACACACTCGAGCACCTCCATAACCAAAACAGAAAAAGTACGAAACCAGGATTTAAATCGCCTTGAAAACAAAATATCTTCATCGAACATTCGCCGTTTTCTGTAAGTCTTCCACTGAGTTTTCCATTTTGAGAAAAACATTAAGGGGCTCACAAGTGTGGGTAATGTGCTCCTCTAACGTTAAACAGTTTGAGATACTGTGTGATACGATACGTGAAGAGGCTTTGATGGAAGTGTTTGGCTGAGGAGGTTGCAGTCAACTTGCCCTTTCTAGGCTCCTAAGAGGGGAAATCCGTAGAAACGCCAACCTGTTTGTGAATAAAAGTAGAACAACAACCTCGTCATTGCTTATCAAGGAAACAGTGAATTGATTCAAATGATTTCTTATCAGGGTACTGGGATTTTCACATCTTGTAAATAAAATAACCACTGCGGAAAATGATGGTGAACAGATGAAAAGTTTTGTAGAGTAAAATGTTTTCACAGCTGCTACCGCTCACATTCTGTCAGTTGAGCATAATGGCTGGTTATATCGCTGTGACTCAATTCATCTAAGACATGCCGATCTCTATTGAAAATATCGTTGGACAGTGAAATGTTGAAGTTTAGCGATTATTTCTGGTTTCACTTAAGAAATTCAGGACATGAGCATGAAAGATTGCTCCACAGGGTTTTTTCTAGCTTAACGAAGGCAACAAATCTCTTAAAGGGATCCCATGCCGGTTAGTCGTGATGCAACGTGGCGAGTCCCCAGGTGACGGATAGAGGTTAAACGCAGACCAAAAGCGACTCCATGCTTCTCTGAGACGTAAGTAGATCCGAAAGATGGGCTCCCTGCTTTTGGTGTGCCGACTTGACAACTATATACTTCGTGTTCACGAGAACATATTTGTGGATCTTTGAGTGGCTACGTTCTCGTTTATGCGGATTGTATTCTACGAGTCAATTCACCCAAAAATCTGCAATCAATTGGTAGGGAAGTCTTACGGAAGTCTATGGAAGGCGGATAGGAGTCGTCTTCAGCAAATAGGCTTCCATCTACTCTGGGAAAGATTGGCTGCTACTTTTTCGTATACCCCACCCCATTTTTATAGCTCATTAAGCTATATGTCGGTATCAAAGACCGAACACAGTAAAACAAGTGCACCTCAATTCCTTGACAACGAAAGAACCCCATATGGCAGCTTTGAATAGGACGAGCACTGAAAAGATGCTAAAATCTCTGGGCTGTTTTACGTCGTCAAAATCTTAAAGGACTAACGTGATGATATGTACTCATAATGCACGTTCTAACATCTAAATCCTCCATCGACAGTATGATGATACAGAATAAGCTACGACGTCATCGAACTGATCGAAACGAAAAGACTACAGAAACCATCTCTCACTGGATAGCACCATGATGAAATAGACCACTTCATATCGAATCGAATTTTTTTCTCACCGATGTCGCCGTTCCTCGAAATTTTGCACGGCAATAGACCATTACGTCCTCCACTTAACATTTTATTCCTCTAGAAAGAGAGAGAAAGCCGCACAATTCAACAATCAAAAACCCAAAACTACCTTAAATTGTGATTTATTCAGATTAGTAGCCGGCCTTTGCGGCCAAGACACCGTAGTAGGCGGTGAAGACGAAGTTATCGGCAGTATTGATGAATAATACGGCCAGCTCATATAACATTTTAATGTTATCGCTATGAATATCGAGAGTTCGAGAGTCACCTAGAGACGCTTGTCTCCAAAAATACTAGAGGTAATACGTCAACGCACAATTGTAAGAGTCGTGAGCATTCGCCAACTTGTGTCTGAACTTGAAGAGCACTTCAGAAGGTTGATAACAAAAGAGTTCGAAGAAAGAAGAGCAGCAGTACTGAATCAAGCTTTAGGATTCGAAATAGCAAAACGATAATTTGGAAACTGACCGTCATTTAACCGGTTCGATGCGAGACCAAGATGCCACATCGAGAATAGGAACTGTGCTACGTCGTCCCACCGGTTTTCCCTTTCGAAATTTTCTACTCTATTTCTTCGGGGAAGAACAACAACACCTGGACCAGAAAAGACAATACCTGGACACCTTAGAACTTTTGGCCAGTTCTTATCAACACACTTATGGTTTTATTCACAAGTTAACTGTCAGGATGGAAGGTTCCTATTTGAAGAAAAGCCTCCACGACTTCGGGAGCTATCGCTCAATTTGTCTGTTGCCTGTCTGCTCTTCATTCGAGCTACGCTCAACAGGATTAGAAGAATGATCGAAGAAAGGACTATTACATTTCGGTTAAATCTAATGAAAACGAAGTTCATGAGAAGTGGATTTGTTCCTAGTACCCAAATGCGAAAATTTATTAGCGCCCGTTCGAGTTGTTTGACGGTCGAGAGGACGAGAGCTAATAAAGATGAAATAAAGGTGAATATAACAAAATATTTCTAGGTCACAATGTTATACCTTTTTATTTTCTGCCTATTATAATTTCGCGGCAGGGTACTAAGCGAAATACAACCACAACGTTGCTGAGATATTTGCAAAACTCTGGACCGCAGGTGTATATGGTGAAGAACGAACGTGCTATTGTCCTTTCCGGGGAGTAACGCGTTCACCACCATACCATGCTGGTCCTCCGTTTCGCCTGTCTCTCAGGCTATGCCGATTTGGGCGCCCCAGATCAATCCCGCTGACGGATGATTGCTGTGGCAAAGATCGATAGAAATAGCTGAGAGACAGGCGAAACGAAGGATTCGCATGGTGTGGTGGTGAACGCGTTACTTCCCGGAAAGGACAATAGCGCGTTCGTTCTCCACCATAGACGCCTGCGGTCCAGAGTTTTGCAAATATCCCAGCAACGTTGCGGTTGTATTTCCAGGTCAGCATCACACTACTGCTAAAGCAGTGATTGCTAATTAAACAAGGTACAGAACAAATGATGTAGATATCGAAAGTTGGAAAAAAAAGTTTAAAAAAAGTCTTTTAGATTAACTAATCGAAGCATTTACACCTTTTTTAATACGAAAGAAGGGTACCCGTTTTCCTAATAATGGATTACTATTAGACGTCATCCAAGTCTGAAAAATCAACTAACGAAGTACCTTTCACCACTTCCTATTCTGACGTACTCCTACCAGAATTATAGTAGTAAAAATACAATCTCATCATAATGTTTTAAAACCCACTTACCTCTTAGGCTTTTGAAAAAAGGAAGTTTAATCAAATCGAAAACCTAGGAATAGGAAAATTAGGAAGATCTAATGCATGCTTTATATTCGGTGTACTAGGAACCGCCGTCACTTGAAAGAATGCTAGTCCCAAGCACACGGGATACCTCCTGTGGTGAAGAAATGAGAACACCGTAGCGGTTAGAGGTGCCTTGCAACAAATGTGCAGATCGTTGATTCTATCGGCTGACCTAGGTCAGCCAAATCACCCATTCCTTCGGATTCGGAAAGTGGGTAAAAGACATGTGCGGGAGGATAAAAGACTGACTTGATAATGTTGGAAATCAGCCTTCATTGGATTTCGGCATGAATAATCAATGCCTTGTTTCACTGGTAAGCTCACACGGGGTTGTTGGGAATCTCTGGATTTTCAACCACAACGTTGCTGAGATATTTGCAAAACTCTGGACCGCAGGTGTCTATGGTGGGGAACGAACGCGCTATTGTCCTTTCCGGGGAGTAACGCGTTCGCCACCACACCATGCGGGTGGGTCCTTTGTTTCGCCTGTCTCTCAGCTATTTCTATCGATCTTTGCCACAGCAATCATCCGTCTGCGGGATTGATCTGGGGCGCCCAAATCGGTATAGAACCCAGTTAAGCTGCGGCTGTAGTTGAAATCACAATGTTATACCTTTTTATTTTCTGCCTACTATAATTTCGCGGCAGGGTACTTGCTGTGGCAAAGATCGATAGAAATAGCTGAGAGACAGGCGAAACAAAGGACCCGCATGGTGTGGTGGTGAACGCGTTACTCCCCGGAAAGGACATTAGCGCGTTCGTTCCCCACCATAGACACCTGCGGTCCAGAGTTTTGCAAATATCTCAGCAACGTTGTGGTTGTATTTCGCTTAGTACCCTGCCGCGAAATTATAGTAGGCAGAAAATAAAAAGGTATAACATCTCTGGATTTTGTTACCGTCTGAAAAATGTTACTGCTATTGCTGTACGATGTGATTCAGTTACATGAGTTGTTTCGTGCTTTAAGTCGTCTTATATCCTTTTTTTGCTCCGTGGTTTGTTGTAGTATATACGAGAAGTTAATAAACGAACTGTATCTTGTTTAGGCTTTATTTAACACTCTCGGGGCAACTGACACCTATAGGTGTCATAACGGTTTTGTGGAAACGGCCGGCATGACGCCTACAGGCTTCAAATTCTTTCTACTGATTTAGTTTGGCGCACAGAAGTTATTTCCTATACTTTGTGCAATCAGTCAATGGCCTATCCAACACAGGCAAACGTCCTACATAGAAGGATGTCCTTTCCTGGAAGAGCAGCAATAGTTTCTCGTCGGAGCACGTGTGAGGTCAAAGAGTCAGTAAGATCAGTAAAAATGTGCAGAAATGCCTCTGCTCGAAGAATTGGCATTGTGTACAGTGTGTAGCATCGTTTCTGGCAAACAGTTTGTTTTTTCCAATTTTCAATCGCTGTGATGACTTTTAGGTAATCTGTGGAATGAAAGAATGTCAAGACTAAAAATTAAACATCGCAATATTCCTCGCAGAACTTACACAACTTCATTACAGCGAACAGAAGTATGAATGCATAGAGGACGAGCGTTTTCCTTCGTAAACGGTAGTTGTATGCTCACTGAAAACTTGGAGAGTGTGTAGAAGAACATTAAGCATATGTAGGATAAGATAAGCTCATGATTTTTTCAAAACGCAGAGAAAGGCCGATCTATTGGACTGAAATCACAACAAAAGGAGCGGGACTTCATAAAAACCGAGGGAGTGGCGAGTGAGACACCTATAGCTGTCACAGGGAGGGTGGCGAAAAATTGGGTGTCGTCGCTTGTCTGTTAAACACTTCGTATGAGTGAAATACAACCACAACGTTGCTGAGATATTTGCAAAACTCTGGACCGCAGGTGTCTATGGTGGAGAACGAACGCGCTATTGTCCTTTCCGGGGAGTAACGCGTTCACCATCACATCATATGGGTCCTTCGATTCGCCTGTCTCTCAGGTATTTTTATCGATATTTTGACAGCTTCACGTCCACTCTACTGCCTCAAGGCATTTTCCATATATATGATTCCGTTGCCGATAGCAGTTTTCCTCCATCCTCACTGCTTCATCTCGAATTTCGCCAGCTAGCTATTCTGTTGACTTTTGCTTCACCTATTGCTCCTTTCCTTTCCCTTATTCCCATTTCCAACTGCACAGTGGGTCTTTGTAGCGATCAATTGGTCCCTCGTTTTTGCTTAGCAGCAACTTGTAAAACCGGTCTATGTTTCCCTGCACAATTTTTATGTGTTCCCTATTCCACGCTTCCTTCCTTCTTTTTTTCTTTTTGCATCTCGTGCGAATCAGGTTGTACTTCCATCGTTTCCTGGT